TTTGAAGCAGCTGAGACACGACCCAGTATCGATATGGGATGCTGGCAAGGCAAAGATTTATCCACTAGGCTATCACACCAGGCCTGAATAAATAAATCTTTTAAAAGCAGGAATAGATGAATCATATAACAGGTTTATGTATATTATTATTAGCTCCTTGGAAACTCAGCACCAAATTTGTGTAGAGGCAGCAGTTTGGGGTTCTTATTGACTGTTGAGGCCCCATGGTCATATTGCTTCTGCCTTTGTTTTGTCTTTCTGGATTTATCTGTGTTTTGTGAGCAGCATAAAATTCCTGCTGGAGTAGGTCTCAGAAAACAATTACACAGTCCTGGTGAAACAGCGAGGGGCACTATGGGCAGGTTACACATGAGATTTTCTCTGACCATTACCAAGGTCTTTATTGCAACCGAACCAGCCAAGCAATTGTGAGCCTGCATAGTTTAGAAGGACACAGGGTTTTTGTAGTGACGTAAAGTATCTAAAGTCTAGCCTTACTTTTCAGAAATAAAGCTGGGACTCGGTGTAGTGGCTTAGCAGCTAAAGTCCTCATCTTGAATGTGCTGGGATCCCATAGAGATACCGATTCTAATCCAGGTAGCCCTGCTTCCCATCCAGCTCTCTGCTTGTGAACTGGGAAAGCAGTTGAGGATAGCCCAAAGCCTTGGAACCCTGCACACACGTGGGAGACCCAGAGGAGGCTACTGACTGACTCAGCTCTGGCCGTTGTGGTCACTTGGGGAATGAATCATCAGATGGAAGATCTTCCTCTCTGTCTCTCCTCCTCTATATATCTGATTTTGCAATAAAAAAATAAAACTGATCAGGCCTCGCACAGAAGCCTACTGGTTAAAGTTCTCTCCTGACATGAGCTAGGATCTCTCATGAGTGCAGATTTGTATCCCAGCTGCTCCACTTCCCATCCTGCTTGAGGCCTGGAAAAGCAGAGGAGGACGGCCCAAAGCCTTCGGTCCCTGCACTCGCGTAGGAGACCTGGAGGAGGCTCCTGGCTCCTGGCTTCAGGTCAGCTCATCTCTGGCTGTTAAAGGCCACTTGGGGCAGTGAACCAGTGGACAGAAGATCTGCTTCTCCTTTTTTCTGTAGATCTGACTTTCCAATAAAAATAAATAAATCTTTAAAAAAAAAAAAGAGGCGGTTTGATATATTTTACTTGAAAGAGAGAGGGAGAGAGAGATTTTTCCATTTGTCAATCAAGCCCCAAATGACCACAATGGCCAGAGCCGGGCTGGTCCAAAGCCAGGAGCTTTTTCCAGGTCTCCCATGTGGATTCAGGGCCCAAGGACTTCACTCCCGGGCCATCAGCAGGGAGCTGGATTGGAGCTGGAACAACTGGGACTCAAATGGGTACCCATATAGGATGCCGGCACTGCAGGTAGATTAATATACTGTGCTGCTGTGCTGGTCCCAGTGCCCAGTGCTTACACTCTTCAACCTGGCAGTTCTGTTGTATAGATTTCTGTACGTATTTGTACAGGACACACAGGGTGCTGTTTACAGATTCGGTTACATCATTATGGGAAGGAATCTTGAACAGAGATCATTAACTGCCAAGTTGACCTCTGAGTCGCTAAGTGTATCAAACACAGTGTTCCTTGTCTGAACAGTGCCATTCCCAATTTTTAGTCATCCCCATTCTTTCAAGTAAGGGCCGTTTTAATGGGCCATCTTTGCATGCCGTTTTCAGCATGCTGATCGAAATGTAAAGCTTCTGCCAGCATCACATAAGACATTTCCTGTGACTCAGGAAGTCATACCAAGGCCCATCAAGGGCAGAGTGACAGGATAGGGAAGGCAGCCCCTCCTCGGGAGGGAGCTCCATTGGGCAGCTTTCTTAAGAGCCCTGTGTGCGATTCTGGCAGCTCTAGGTACGCATCAAAGCACAGCTGTTCTGGTGGAGAAAAGGACACATACTGGGATTGTTCTGTGGATCTGGCTTAAGACCTAGAGAAGCCCAAATTTGGATCTTGGCTGGGTGTCCAGCCAGCACGTGACTAGGCAGCCTGCTGGACCTCTCCCAGCCTCTCATCTGTGTCAGTGGCCTCTCTCAGCTGGGTCGGCACACCGGGCACCTCACTGGGGCAGGAGCTCAGAAAGTGGTCTTGCTGTGTGGTGTCTGCGCACCCCTCCCGCCTGTGAAGTATAGTCCTCAGAGGCGGCGTCTGAACCGGAACCGTGTGCGGTCTGAGCAGAGCCCGCTGTGTGATTGCGTGAGGGCTATCCCTTCTGAATGTGCCTACGTCCTTTGACTTGGCAGTTCTGCTTCTCGTGTAAGAGCCTGAGCAAGCATACACAGATTGATAAGGAGGTGAGGTCAGAGCATGGCATGAAACAACCGAAGTCGTGTGGGAGAAATCAATTAGCTGTGGTCTCCAGAGGGCATACTGTCTACCATGTGGGGACGGTCAGGGTGCTTAAAAACACTGGTGGACAGTGGAATTGACGGGCTTATTTGGTGCCAGAAAAATGCAGCCCATGCATCCCTGGAAGTATGGACACTGCACATTAGGGAAACCGCCACGCTTGTGTGGTTCCTGGGTGACGTGGCAGGGGAAGCCTCAGCAGCGACATGGCATGCCACTACCTGTTTCCTATCTGGTTTCCCCTGGCTTTGTCCATCTTCATGAGCATTTCACTTCAAAGAACCGGCTACCAAAATCATTGGAATTTGGCACTTCTAAAAAATAGTTGGTCGTGCTCAGGGTCAGGTTTCCTGATTTTCAGTGATTGCTAGACAGATGTTTTGATACGAGGTTACACTCTTGAACTATAATTTTTTAAAGAAATTTTTGGAGGAAAATGATTTTTTTCTTTTTTAAAAAAATTTAGGTAAACTGTTAAGATGATAAGGGTTGAGGCTTTCTTACAAAGTTTAGACAAGGGAAGTTCTAGGAAGTATTTTCAACAGAACCTTTTTGAGTGAGATTGGTTTGATGTGTAAATGTCATAGGTGGGTGAGAGCATGAGACAAGGAAGAGAGCGCCAACATACATGGTTGACCGTTGTGCCAAGTAGTGTGAGTATGCATGGCCCGTGGAGCAGTGCTTAGGCCTCTGTGCCGGGCACACCGCCTGCAGCTGTCTCTGAGGCTCAGCTGCAACGGCCCTGCTGTCCGCCATAAACCCTAGCCCTAACCCTGCTATCAGGCCTGCTCCCAGTGATACCTGCGAGATGGAAGTGTTCCTGCTGCTGGAAGTTTTGAGCAGTGATGTCACTGTTGGACAAGGACCAAGTGCATACTTTATTTCCACACCCAATACAAATCCCAAAGCTGGTTCTACTGACTGCGTCACATGCTTGAAATAAGAGAGAGAACATTCAAGAGAGAATCCTGTGAAGTGTTTCTTACCAAGTGTTCATGGGAAATATCTCCTGAAGTCTCCAGAAATGTTACCAGCAAATTGGGTGTAAGCAGTGTTTCGAAAGGCAGATTATGCCTTAGTTTAGTTTATTCAGTTGTGGCTTATCTTTTTTTTTTTTAAGATTTATTTATTTTGGGCCCGGCGCGGTGGCACAGTGGTTAAGGTCCTCGCCTTGCACGCCCGGGATCCCATATGGGCGCCAGTTCTAATCCCGGAAGCCCCACTTCCCATCCAGCTTCCTGCCTGTGTCCTGGGAAAGCAGTTGAGGATGGCCCAAGGCTTTGGGACCCTGCACCCACGTGGGAGACCTGGAAGAAGTTCCTGGATCCTGGCTTCGGATTGGCACAGCTCCGGCCGTTGTAGCCACCTGGGGAGTGAATCATTGGACGGAAGATCTTCCTCTCTGTATATCTGCCTTTCCAATAAAAATAAAATAAATCTTTAAAAAAAAAAGATTTTATTACAAAGTCAGATATACAGAGAGGAGGAGAGAAGGAGAGGAAGATCTTCCGTCCGATGATTCACTCCTCAAGTGAGCGCAACGGCCAGTGCTGTGCCAATCCGAAGCCGGGAACCAGAAACCTCTTCCAGGTCTCCCATGCGGGTGCTGGGTCCCAAAGCTTTGGGCTGTCCTTGAGTGCTTTCCCAGGCCACAAGCAGGGAGCTGGATGGGAAGTGGAATTGCTGGGATTAGAACCGGCACCCATATGGGATCCCGGGGCGTTCAAGGTGAGGACTTCAGCAGCTAGGCCACGCCGCTGGGCCCAGTTGTGGCTTATCTTAAAATATCTCTGGGAATGCATTCTTGGAATGAACATACCCTTGGTACTGTTTTTCTGTTTACTGAAAGGTAAAGCAACATGTAAATTGCACAAATATCTGTGCTGTTTATTTTAGCTCACCAAAATCAGCATCGCACCTTGAACAGGCAGTGAGAACTGCTTGTTGTGTTGAGTAAAGCTGTGCTCCAGTCCAGATCAATGATTGCAGGACAGGGTGGGGAAGACCAGGAGGTGTGCAGATGAAAGCACCTGGAAGCATCTGGTGCGGGCGTGAGTGAAGTATGAAGGGAAGGCAGATGCAGAAGGCATGAGGGAGCAGGTGTCATGCCTGGGGCTCTAGTGAGAAGCATCGCATAGCAGTGAGGAGTTCCCATGAGATCCACTCTCACGTAGTGAGATTCGTAAGTGTAGCTCTTGGTGAATGACTTACTGTGAAGGCGTGTTTAAGAAGTGAAACCTCCCTGGGCAAGGTGTGGAGCTGGAGTCTTGGGATGTGGCCACGTCTGTTGGCGTGGATCCCAGAATGCCATTGACGCAATCAGAAAATTATGAGAGTCTTGCATCCCATCGTAGCAGGCTTAACCTTTGTAATGTTTCCATGTCTTTTCGATCTATCATGACATTTTAGATTTAAAGAAAATGAAAAAGTGAAATTTTCATACTGATGCTTTCAGAATGAAGATACGACTTCTTCTGTACCTGCTAGACAAACTTATGGTCATTTTCTGTAACACAGAAAACGTGGCTGCTATGGGAAGATGTGTCTGTCCCGAGGGCTGCCACAGCAAGAAGTGGGGTCTGTGGCAGATAAGCATATGCCGGTTTTCTCTTGTCCCAGCAGTCGGAGACGGAGACAGTGCATCTATTCATCCCAGCACTCTCGGTGGGCGCCATAATCGGCAAACAGGGCCAGCACATCAAACAGCTTTCTCGCTTCGCGGGAGCCTCCATAAAGGTATTGCTCACCAACTCCCTGTACACATTCTGGCAGCATGGCTCTACTTGTCGCATGATGGTTGTCAGGTATGGCTGGGTAAGCTGTGGCTTAACCTATGTGAGTGGCCAGGGCAGTGAGGTGGCCTGGTTCATCCCAGCACACCTTCCCGCAGGGCTGGGCTGGCCCAAGTGGCCCTGTCAGCTGCTTCAAGGTGTTGCTTCTGGCCCACTGAGGCTGAAGGGACAGCCGGGGACCACATAGCGTGTGTGTGTTGTCAGCTAAGCAGCTGACGGCTGCAGAAGGCTGCATCATGTTATGGTTGGCCTAGGAGGCCTGCCACAGCAGGGACCAAGCACGGTGCTGCATAAAACAGTGGCTCTTGAGCATTTGTTTGTGCGGAGCCTACTCATAGGGACATGGTATATGTACCAGTCAGCCTGTAGACTCTGTTCTTGAGCATCTGAGCAGGGGAAACGCCAGCACAGCTAAACCCAGGAGCCTGCACTCAGCTGTTCCATGTCCTAACCTAACCCTTTTCAATGGGTTCCCCACAGATCGCGCCTGCCGAGGCCCCAGATGCTAAGGTGCGGATGGTGATCATCACGGGACCCCCAGAGGCGCAGTTCAAGGTATATGCTCTCAGCTGTGCACGGGCCACAAGAGGGTACAGGGGACTGTGGTTTCTCTCAGGGACTGTCTAACTCAGCATCTCCCTAAAGTATGTCTAGTAAGTAGAAAGGATACGTGGAACTTTGACCTAAGAGCATAGCATGGTAGTCCCACACCCCAAGTTACAGTTCAAAAGAAAAACCTTTCCGTTCGAGGATTGCCCTGGAGGTTGTAGGAGGACTGGGCTCCCTCTCAAAGGTAAACTTACCCAGCTGTCCTGTTACTGTACATGAAGGTGAGACCTTCAGGCTGAAATTGAAGGCGGCCTGACTGTGCCTTGGAAACGTCCCAGGATACCCCCACTGTCACTCGGGTTCCCTAATGCAGCATCGAAGTACCCCTTGGTAAGCCTGGGACTAACTGACAGCCCTTACCCATGCATCCCTGACCCCAGTGCACTCTGACTCCCAGCTCTTCTACTTCGGATCCAACTTCCTGCTGATGAGCAGCCTGGGAGGCAGTGAGTGAGGCTCAAGTGACTGGCTCCCTGCCCCACATGTGGGAGGCAGTCTAGCATGGCCTTGGAGTCATTGCTGGGTTTTGAGGAATGAACCAGTCAATAGAGAGGTCTGTTTCCCAAATAAATAAAAAACACTTGGGAGATTAAATGCTATCAAAACTAATAAAAGGTATCACTGTAGCACACTGGGCTAAGCCACTGGCATCCCCTATCAGTCCAGGATCCCGCCATACTGCCTTTGGTTGATTCCTGCTCATGTGACTGAGACCTTGGCAGAAGGTGCAGTCAAGGGCCTGCTTCCCTGCCACTCATGTGGGTATAAAGGCTTCATCCTGGCCCAGGCCTGCCGTTTGTAGAATAAACCAGCACTTGGATGGTCTCTCCTCTCTCTGTTGCACTGCCTTTCAAAGAGATATAGAATGGGGACCAGTCCCTGCAGGTGTGGGCAGCTGAAAGGTTTGCATCGGCTACATGCTCACACAGCAGCCACCAAGTGTGGCTGTGCTGGTGGTGGTGTGGCTGATTTGGCCAGTCTCTCAGGCCCTGCTAAGTACACTTCATGTTTCTAGGATTTCAGCCATCAAGCTCAGTGCGGATGTCTTGTCTTAGATAAAAGTGACCTCTGGGTATATGATTCTTCCTCACCTTGGGAGCTGCCCAACAGCTCAGCTACGCACCTCTGAGGCCTCCATTGGTTACCATGGCTGCTGCCCATGCCTCCATCCTTCTCCACCCCATTTTGTAGAACATCACTTTTTTTCCCCCTTCAGTCATTGAAACTCTAAAGTAGCTGAGCTGCCTTTGCAGGGGTAATGGGAGGCAGTGTGGCAGTGTGGTGGGCGGGCGCGGCTCCCGGGTGGGTGAAGCAGTGTGTGCGCTCTCTGGTGGCAACCTCGTGGCGGCCATGTCCAAGATGCTGGAAGCCGCTGTCTGCACCTGCCTGCACCACGGCCAACATTCTTCAGGGGTAGACCTCAGGAAGGGTCCATTTGATCTCAACACTGAGCTTTATTTAAAAAACAAAAACAAAGTCAAAAACACTGACTGAAGTTGTTATCCTATAATTGAGAATGCCTGCAAGGTGGGAAATTCAAAATTGCCTTCCTAGATAGCTGTGTTTCACAGTTACCATAATGACTGACTCTCAGCACGTGATCCAAGGGATAGTTTCTTTCAGAGATCAAAGGCATAGTGGATCCTCGAAGCCATATTTCTCAAGAATCTTGTTTGCGTTTCTTAGTTTCTTTCTTTCTTTTTTTTTTTTTGACAATCTTTCATAGTTAATTAGGGTAAAAAGGGTCAAGGGCTATAGGAAAGTGGGTAAGACTATTATTTCCATATTGTTTCCTTCATGTTTAAAGGGGGGAATTAAGGGAGAAGGCCCACCCGATTTCCCACCCTCTCCAAGTCCTGGATGTAGGGTATGCTCTGAGGTTCTTGCTCAGGTGGTTTTGATAGTTCACCAGTTAGGAATTGCTGCCAATCTTGCCACTTGACATAGTCCCTCATAAAGTCTCTGTTTGCCCTGTATTTTCACTGCCAACATATAGCTGAGATGGTTGATTGACCTGTTCTGTCTTCTCTCTTTTCTTGGTTTGGGTTCTGAGTCCAGCATTTCAATTGGAGAGAACCCCAAAGAAACTTTGTCTGAGGTGTTCTCAGACCAGATTCTTATATGTACTAGCAGGAACAGGGCCTGGCACAGTCCATTGCCCTGATCAGCTGGTGGTTGCGATCACTGAGTTGGTGCTGTTTTCAGTCCAGACTTCCACTGGAACCAATGGGTGTTGCAGTCCATTCTGGTTCTGCCCAGCACATACTCGGCCCTCGCATAAACAAGTGGGAGCTGCAGCCTAGTTGGAGTGACCTACAAGAATCCCCACCAGGTCCGCCCCCTACAATGGTTTGCCAGTATGTGTGGCAGTAGTCCAGTCTGTCGCACACTCCATTCCACCCCAGCCCCTGTCCTGGTTTTCATGCCCTCCTGTGGGAGTGGTAACCCAAGAGGGAGGAGCCCACTATTTCCCTCCCAGGCCTCTCCCACTCCCAGATTATGCTCTCTCCAGGCAGTTCTGTGGTTTGACTTGACAAAACTAGCCCCCAGTGCCAGCTTCTGCCAGCGCATGCTGTGGTTAAGCCCAAACAACCCTCACCCACTCTAATTTTGTTTGCACCAGTAGGAATAATCAGCCCAGCCTGGCTTTTCCCTGATCTAGTCCACATGAGGCACACAGTTCTTGTAGCCCTGCTTAGTCTGGTCTGCCCCCATCCCAGCTCATGCTCTCCAGTGGGAGTAGCTGTCCAGCAAAGGAACCCTCCCTTATTCCCCTGCTGGCTCAATCCCCTCCCTTCCTGGTCCTCACGCATGCTGGTTGAGCGCTATGGTCACATCTGGTACAGGCAACCTCACCTTGGCATTCCATATTGTGCACTAGTTTGTGTGGCGACCGAACCCGGCTCGACCCACACTGTTCTGGTGCTTGGATTTGCCAGTGGATGACGTGAACTGATTCAGCCTGGTCTTCCCTCAAGCCATGCCAAATGTATGCCAGTGGGTAACTTTCCATGGCCTGTTCTGGGCTGTTTCCTATCATGTTTCTTGCACTTACCTGCTGGGTCTGTGTCCTGCCAGAGGAGTTGCCCAGGCTCCTTCATCAGAACCTCTCCCAAGGCCAGATTTTGCGCATACCAGTGGGTTGCATTTCTTAGTTTCTTACCCATAACTTGTTTCTGTGCACTAGGTATTGGGATGTTTGGACTAAAAAACACCACTGATGTGTGTGTGGGCTAGACCTTGTAGCCTTTTGTTCAAAGCAGAAACCACCTGGTTAAGATGAAAAAAATATATATATTTAAATAAAATCTGCTTGAAAGGCAGGGTGACAGTTACCTCCCACCTGCTGACTCCCTCCCTAATGTCCACAGGCAAGGGCAAGGCCAGCCTAGGTACTGGAGACATTCCTGTCTTTCAGGCGTGTTAGCAGGAAGGTGGACCAAATGTGAGGGAGACTCCAACTGGCCTTTGACGTGGGGAGCAAGTGAGCCTCCCCCAGTGCCCACCCCTCACCTCAGCAGGCTTCCTCTCGGCTCCTTTAGCCACGAGCATGGATTTTTGTCACTGGGCATGGTTGACTGATGATTCATTCTTGTAGCCAGCAAGAGAGGTTTACCTTTCAGGATTCCAGTGCAGTGGCCACTCGCCCCCACAGATGTTAGGCTGACTGCTAACTTCCTCTGGCGATTTGGTTAGGGGCATATGCCTGCCCTTTCTTTCCTGCCATACATTTTCCTCACCCAAGATGTGTTGGAGTTCGTGGTTGCCGTTCCAGGGCCCCCCAAGCTCACTCTCCAGTGATGTTACACACAGCATACAGATCCTGCGACATGCGAGCCTGACCAGGGTCAGGCCATCTCGGGTATCAGCTCTCACGCCTCCTACATGCATGACACTGGTGGGCTGTGTTGTTGTCTGCAGGCTCAGGGAAGAATTTATGGCAAGATTAAAGAAGAGAACTTCGTCAGCCCTAAAGAGGAGGTAAAGCTTGAAGCTCACATCCGAGTGCCATCCTTTGCTGCCGGCAGGGTGATCGGAAAAGGAGGCAAAACGGTAAGTACCACAGCCAGACCTGTGCGGAGGGGCGTGGCAGAGGTCCTGGGACCACTCTGCATTAGGACGTATACCACCTGCAAGGGGCACCGCGCTCCTCCTGTCGCTAACAGCTTGGGCTTCAGTCACCTCCCGAAGTGAAACCGCTCGCTCCTCTTTAGCTACAAAATGAGTCAGTGGCTTCTTCTCTAATACAAAGGCTAAGCCATTTTCAAAGGTATTTAAAATGTTGAAGTCACTGAGACAGACCATACATTTAAGGGGTAAGACATTTGAGGGTTCAAACCCTGGTGTGCCTTTTGCTTTAAGACTCTGGGCAGACCTCTTTCTTTTGGGGAGCCTTTGCTTTAGTGATCCCCAGTGAAGACAACACTGTCCGAATGGTAAGTGTGTGACACGAAGCTTCTGATGTCTGGTATGCAGTAAGCACTAGAGAATTGAAGGCTTTCTAAAAAGTCCATTTGACATCATTTCTCTTCATCTCTTGCAGGTGAATGAGCTCCAGAATTTGTCAAGTGCGGAAGTAGTTGTACCTCGTGACCAGACACCTGATGAGAATGACCAAGTTGTTGTCAAAATAACTGGTCACTTCTACGCTTGCCAGGCAAGTGGGCTGTACCGTGATAAGCAAATGGAAGCAACTGTCTCCTTGGGCACTTCCACCCCATACAAATGTTGCCAGTTATCTGATGCTTTACACTGTTACACTCCCTTACAGCAGGCAATTTCAGTGTAGTAGCAAGCCTTTGGTAGTGTGTCCTCCATGTGAAAATGGATGCTATGTGAAGTTACTGACATGGGACGAGTGAAATAACTTGTGACTTTTGATCAGGTCCAGTTTTCAAAGTTCTATCCTTCTGCAGGTTGCCCAGAGAAAAATTCAGGAAATTCTGACTCAGGTAAAGCAGCACCAACAGCAAAAGGCTCTGCAGAGCGGACCATCGCAGTCACGGCGGAAGTGACGGCTCAGGCCCCAGCCCCGCAGAGGCAGACGCCAGACCAAAGACAGACCGCCGACCCCTCTCCAGACTCCACGCACAAGTCTGTACCCAGCCAGTTGTTTCTGAGGACCAGGCAACTTGTGAACTCCTGTCTCTGTGAGAATGTGTACTTGATGCTCTCTGAAATATGTGACACCCAGCTTTAAAAAAATGAATGGGGGGAGGGGTGGGAGAGGAGAGCTCCGCACTTCCCTGTGTCGTAGTCTCACACGTTAACAGCCAGCCTCGGTTTCTCCGTGTGCTCCCTGAGAATGCCGGAAATCAGCCTACTCGCTAAACTCATCAGACTTTAAAAATAGATTGCTCCTAAATACAACTGCTAAAATTGAATCGGAATAATCACAGAAACTAAAAGGTTAAGCCATTAGCATCAAAAAAATTGTTCTCGGTTTTATTTTTATCTGACACTAACATGAGTAACATAAGGGAAGTGCTGAATGGTGTTGGCAGGGGCATTAAATGTGCATTTTTTTACTCAACTACCTCAGGTATCCAGTAATACAAGGAAAAGCAAAAAGCAAACGCGTTTTTTTTTTTCCTGAAAATTTTATATACTTCAGAAGGATACAAGTCCGAACATTTTTTTATGAAATAAATTTAACAGCTAACAGGAAAATAACTGAGAAAAAGACTGACTTCTTGCTGATGACAGTAAAGCTGGATAATTAATCTTAGGTTTTTGTTTTTTGAGGCTTTGGACAGTTATTAGTTGGAAAATCCAGTACGTGTTCAAAGATGGGGAGCAGTGCCTGCATCTGGGGAGCAGCAACATGTTTCTTCTTTCACTTAGAGCTGGGAGGGTTTGTGGGTGGCACTGATGAGGTGGCGGCAGGCGGCTTTGGGGTGGCTTTGGGAGACCTGAGGGTTGGTTAGCGACGTGACTGAACGCATGCACGCTCTGTGCTCTTCACCGTGCGGGCCTTCACGGGGCCGGGGAAGGGAAGCAGGACCTTCCGCTGACTGGCAGGCAAGGCTCAGCATGTCCTGAAAGGATGCTTAGTTTACCCAGTGCACTTCAGACCAGCTGGTCTCCACCCAAGCAGACTGCAAAGTAACTGCTGGGTGAAGACCAAGGCAGCAGTCAGACTGGTGGGACAGTGGTTACAGGAAGCAAAAGATTACAGCTGCTCCATGGGCACTGGCACTGTGGCAAGCCTCACTAAGCTACTTTGGAGATTTTCAAGCTATGATTTATAAAATGACAGTCCACCTAAATATTATATAAAATGTAGCAGGATTTCTGTATACTCTGCAAGTTATTTGAAAATAAGTCAAATGGTAGAGAATGTAAAACAGGTTTTGGAATGTAATTTGAATGACTGAAAACATCGGTTCTTTGAGAGTGAACTTATCTGCCCATTCCTTAACTTGATGGCCACGCCCGGTATGTACAATACGTGGGTGTGGGTGGGCGGGCCCCAGGGCCACACTGCTCTCTGAATTGTTTTGCTTTTGTTCCTGAGATGACCACAGTCACGCTAGACGGTCTGATGGCATGTGGAATGCTTTAGAAATCATTTGCCTCGTTCATACTCGAGATGAATTGCTAACAGACTATTTTCTGAAGATCAACGTTATCAGTTAGACACTTGGAAATTTATGTGAAATGTTTTCCTAAATACCTGCAAAAAACCAGTTTATTTTGTAGTATTAGCCCAAAAGTGCCCTTTTTTGTCACTGAATTTATCTTGCATTCATCATTTTTCATATAACGAATGAAAATTGCTTAAAAAATCATAGACTGGCTTCCTGGTTGAATTTCAAATGAGATGTTCAGGGCTAGAGCTTTTCTTCAGTATTTGATTTAAAAAATTGCAGATCGGTGCTGGTTTAAATTCTGCCATATTTCACTTCTAGCCTGTTAGTGTGGCCAATTCTATCTTACTTTCATGTAAGCGTTGGTGATTTGGAGGATGTGGAAATAGCCAAGAAGTAATTCTGTGATTGAGTTTTGTACTCACTGTACATGGATCATTTCTCAAAATGTGCCCCAAATGCAGCTTCATTTTCCAGATCCTTGATGCAAAATAAAGTTCATCCTTAGGTACAGCCTGCTGTGTAGTGTGTTACGTTTGGTGATTATACATGTGGAAAGTTCTGAATCTGGTCCTGTTACAAAGGTAAACTTTTCATTATACCACTTCAACCTCTAAATAGTCATTGATGCCTACTCAGATTTTTTTTTTGTTTGTTTTGCAGTTCAGGGTAATTAATACAAACTTAGATATGAACTAAGAACTATAGGTTTTAAGAGTTTTCCCTAATACTTTGTCCTAGAAGGTTAAGAAGTCTCCTCCTAAAATAGCGTATTACTCATTGCTGGTTATCACCTCAAAAGAAAAATATGATCAGTAGGATACTGATAAGTTGTTCTTTATTTGTATTGGAAAGGCAGATTTACAAAGAGGAAGAATGACGAAAGTCTTTTTTTTTTTTTTTCTTAAAGATTTATTTATTTATTGGAAAGTCAGATATACAGAGAAGAGGAGAGACAGAGAGGAAGATCTTTCGTCTAATGATTCACTCCCCAAGTGAGCACTATAGCCAGTGCTATGCCAATCTAAAGCCAGGAGCCAGGAACTACTTCTGGGTATCCCACACGGGTGCAGGGTCCCAAAGCTTTGGGCCGTTCTCCACTGCTTTCCCAGGCCAGAAGCAGGAAGCTGGATGGGAAGTGGAGCTGCCGGGATTAGAGCCAGCGCCCATATGGGATCCCGGTGTGTTCAAGGCAAGGACTTTAGCTGCTAGGCCACGCCATTGGGCCCCAGAAAGGTCTTTCAATGGCTGGAGCTAAGCCAATCCAAAGACAGGAGCTTCTTCCAGGTCTCCCATGCAGGTGCAGAATCCCAAGGCTATCCTCCACTGCCCTCCCAGGCCACAAGCAGGGAGCTGGATGGGAAGTGAAGTAGCTGGGACACAAATGAGCGGTCATATGGGATTCCAGTGCTTGAAGGGAGAGGATTAATCAGTTGAGCCGTTGCAATGAGCCCAATGGGCATGCTTTAAAAATGCTGTGCCGGGCCTAGCGTGGTGGCCTGGTGGCTAAAGTCCTCGCCTTGAATGCACCTGTATCCCATATGGGAGCCGGTTCATGTCCCGGCCGCTCCACTTCCCATCCAGCTCCCTGCTTGTGGCTTGGGAAAGCAGTCAGGGATGGCCCACAGCCTTGTGACCCCGCACCCGCATGGGAGACCTGTAGGAAGTTCCTGGTTCCTGGCTCCTGGCTTCAGATCAGCTCGGCTCCAGCCACTGTAGTCGCTTGGGGAGTGAATCATCAGACAGAAAGATCTTGTCTGCCTTTCCTCCTCTCTGTATTCAGACTTTGCAATACAAATGAGTAAATCTTAAACTGCTGTGCCGTCTGTGTTGTAGTTAAATTTACATGTAAGCAAGATTAGTAAGCAAGCAGACACCAGGGCTAAGTCCAGGACAGGATGCTGTGCTGCCAGGGCTGTTCTGGTGGGAATGTACTGGTGCTCAGTTAACTATTCTCTTACCTCCAATCTCTCTCCACCTGCCAGTCACCCAGGGGTGGGCGGGGGAGGCAAAAAGGACTTGACCAATCTGAAAGGACTTAAATAGTTCATGACTTTATTCACCTTTCAGCTCCATGGGAGTGAGGGATAAAGTGTTGTCTTCTATTCCAAGAATGAAGTCTTCGGGTATGCTTTCTGGGGCTATCTGAGCTAACTGGTCATCGTAGGAGCGCAGTGTCCACAGCTTCTCCAGTTCATAGGTCTCTCTGGTTTCTGGAAGCATCAAGTGAACCACCATACTGCCTGTCGGGACAGAGAAGAGCCACAATGAGGAAACAGTTCCACCTTGTCACTTCCAACCCTCTGTTGTAAAGAGAGCAGTGATGATCGCCTCGCCCCGAGAAGCCACAGCAGCGAAGTGTCCTTCTGGGGTCCCCACCATGCAGGAGGTGTACGATGGCGGTAGGTAACAGACGGCCATTCCCCTGGAATGGTTATGTTTGCCAACAAAGCACTGACTGCCTGCCTCGCATTTGGACTCACCGCAGTTTCCAGGGTGTCTGCTCAGTGCATGGACCTGGCAGAAAGACAGTGTCGGAGTTGAGACCAGCTTTGTGTACAGCTGTGGCTCTCAGTGTGCAGCAGTGTAAGCTGGGGCTAGGAGCCATTTTAACTGTCACAGTTGGGGTTGGGGGAGGGGACACCCAGACATCCTACAAAGCCGCGAACTGTCCCTCGCAGGCCTGCTTCCTTCCAGTTAGACATGCTAAGCCAAGAGTTCAGGTGTCCTGAAGTTTCAGGTGACTGTAGGCAGGTGTCCTGGCTCAGAGACCCATGCAGAGCTGATGGCGCTGGCTACTGCTATGAGCAGTAACTGCTCTGTATCAGCAGAACCTGACAGCCTGCAAGTGGGATGAAATCTGGGACCCTCAATTGCTACTGTATGGTTATTGGTTTTCCCCTTGGGAGATGCTTTGCACTAAGCACACCTTACTAGCCAAGCTTGTTCTGCCATTTCATAATCCCATCTTTCTGCCTCTGTGCTTCCTGAGCCTGGAGTGACTTCTACCATGATCTAATATGGCCAACGGCAAACACAGCAGTCCGTCTAACTAGCAGTTTATGTGTACGTATGTAAATTATATCTTACCCCAGGAGTACATTACCTGTAGTATTTTTGCACAAATTTTAATTATCTTAAATGCACATAATCTCTACAACTGATAAATAATAAAATATTGCTGTACTAACTTACCAAAATCCACACAGAGCCAGTCATCCGTGTCCTTCCCTTCGATTTTAACATGGGGCTCACTTTGGCATTTCAGGTATTTGTACTGAAAAAACAAAGACATGTTAAAGGAAGAGGGTGTGGAGGGACCTCTGCTCTTGAGGTTTTAGCAGCCTTTTTCTGGTCCAAATGTGAGAGGATTCTGTACAGCGATACCCTGAGCTGTGGCTGCTAACAGGAATACCATGCTCCCCCCTCAATTTTCTCCTCATACTTTTCTATCAACTCCTCTTACTCAAATACTTTTATGTGCAATTTTTTTTCATTGGAAAGATCTTCTATCTGCTGGTTCGCCCCCCCAAGTGGCCATAACGGCAGCAGCTGAGCCGATCCAAAGCCAGGAGTTCTTCCAGGTCTCCTATGTTGGGTGCAGGGTCCCAAGGCTTTAGGCCATCTGCTGCTCTCCCAGGCCACAAGCAGGGAGCTGGCAGGTAAGTGGAGCAGCCAGGGTTAGAACAAGTACCTATACGGGATCCCAGTGAGGACTTTAGCCACTACGCTACTGTGCTGGGCCTTTACTCAAATACTTCTCAGAAGATACACTTGGGCTTGCCTTGCTCTCATAGACTCCAACCATCTCCTTCCTGCTTTAAGCCAGGTCTTCTCAGTACTAGTGTTTTTAGTCTTACCTAGCTTCACAGCAAGTAGAAAGGCCTTCATCATAATCACATGTCTGTTTTGAACATCTGAATACTGAGAAACTGCTGTGAGGCCAAGACATTAGGATCAAAGGAACAGCTTGCTAGATAAGTGCAACTAGTGCTCTAAGAACAAAGACCCTTAGGCCACACATTCAGTAGACCTTGATAGAACATTGTAGTCAACAAGAAAATACACATTTTGGGCCCGGCGCGGTGGCACAGTGGTTAAGGTCCTTGCCTTGCACGCCCAGGATCCCATATGGGCGCCGGTTCTAATCCCAGCAGCCCCGCTTCCCATCCAGCTCCCTACCTGTGGCCCGGGAAGGCAGTCGAGGACGGGCCAAGGCTTTGGGACCCTGCACCCGTGCAGGAGACCCGAAAGAGTCTCCTGGCTTCAGACCGGCATAGCATCAGCCATTGCGCTCACTTGGGGAGTGAATCATCGGACGGAAGATCTTCCTCTCTGTCTCTCCTCTCTGTATATCCGCCTTTCCAATAAAAAAAATAATAAAAATAAATCTTTAAAAGAGAAAAGAAAATACACATTTTGCTCAAGTGCATGTGGAACCTTCTCCAGGACAATATACAGCAAGTCTTAATGAAATGCATATTTTCTGATGACATTAAAATAAAACTAGAAATCAACACAAGTAATCCTGGAAATTATGTAAAAATATTTTGGAGATTAGATAAGCACACTCAGATCACACAAGGAAACAAAATATCTAGAGACAAATTCCCTGCCTAGGAAAGCAGAGGATGGTTCAAGTCTTCGGGCCCTGCACTGCGGGGGGGGCCTTGAGGAAGCTCCTGGCCTTGGATCAGCTCAGCTGCAGCCGTTGTGGCCATTTGGGGAGTGTGCCAGTGCATGTAAGATCTGTCCTCTTCATAAAACTGATTTGCCTTTTCAGTAATAAATGATAAATTTTTAAAAAGATTTATTTATTTTTATTACAAAGGCATACAGAGAGGAGGAGAGATAGAAAAATGGTCTTTCGTCCGATGATTCACTCCCCAAATAAGCGCAACAGCTGGTGCCAAGCCAGCCAGGAGCTTCTTCCAGGCCTCCCACACAGGTGCAGGGTCCTAAGCCTTGGGGCTGTCCTCGACTGCTTTCCCAGGCCACAGGCAGGGAGCTGGATGGGAAGTGGAGCTACCGGGATTAGAACCGGCGCCCATATGGGATTCTGGGGCATTCAAGGCGAGGACTTAAGCTGCTAGGCTACGCTGCCGGACCCAAATGATAAATCTTAAAAGGGGAAGACATTATTGACTTTCGTAAAATAAAAATCCATAAACATACTATGGAAGATGTCAATAAACTGGATAGTTGAGAGGAAATAGGCAAATGTTAAAAACACTATACAGATGATAAAGTCCAAACAGGCCTAGAGCTAGAAGTGACTGCATTAATCTGTTCAACTTCACAACAAAAAGTCCTGCATCATTAGGTGGCTTTGTGGGTCAATTCCACCAAATATTTAAACACTACCACTGCTTGTCAATTTTCAAAAACAAAAGGGAGGCAATACTTCTAAGTTATTCTGTGAGACTAACCTTAGCCTGACAGGAAAAGCAAAGCCTCCAGTAAAAGACCACTATGGGGCCCGGCGTGATGGCGCAGTGGTTAAGGTCCTCGCCTTGCCCACCCAGAATTCCATATAGGCGCCGGTTCTAATCCCAGCAGCCCCGCTTCCCATCCAGCTCCCTACCTGTGGCCCGGGAAAGCAGTTGAGGACAGCCCAAAGCTGTGGGACCCTGCACCCGCGTGGGAGACCTGGAAGAGGCTCCTGGCTTCGGATCAGCATAGCATTGGCCCGTTGCACTCACTTCGGGAGTGAATCATCAGATGGAAGATCTTCCTCTCTGTCTCTCCTCTCTGTATATTCGCCTTTCCAATAAAAATAAAATAAAATCTTAAAAAAAACGACCACTATGGCCCTGTAGAGTTACCTGACACACAAGTCCTCAGCCACATCCCGGCTGAGCGGGTTCAGCTGCAGCTCGTTACTCAGTTATGCGCCATTACCTAGGGGGAGTGGTACCTGTCACAGGGAGCACCAGTCACCATCTCACACCACACCAGCAGAAGACAGCAAGCGCTTCCTTAGGACATCAATCAGTGCACCTGTTCACATTAGAAGCAACCAGCGGGGCCCGGCGCGGTGGCCTAGCAGCTAAAGTCCTTACCTCGCACACACCAAGATCCCATATGGGCGCCGGTTCTAGTTCCTGCAGCCCTACTTCCCATCCAGCTCCCTGCTTGTGGCCTGGGAAAGCACTCGAGGACAGCCCAAAGCCTTGAGACCCTGCACTTGTGTGGGAGACCTGGAGGAAGCTCCTGGCTTAGGATTGGTGCAGCCCCGGCCATTGCGGCCACTTGGGGAGTGAATCATCAGACAGATCTTCCTCTGTCTCTCCTCTCTGTATATCTGATTTTGCAATAAAAATAAATTTAAAAATCTTTAAAAAAGAAACAGACCTGGAACCCTGCACCCATGTGAGAAGCCCAGAAGAAGCTCTTGGTTTGAACCAGCTCAGCTCCAGCTGTTGCGACCACTTGGGGGAATGAACTAGTAAAACAAAGATCTTTCTTCCAGTTACTCCTTCTCTCTGCAAATTTATCTTTTCAATACAAGAATGTAAATGTTTTTTAAAAAATGTTTCAGAAAACACAACAGGATAAAGTCCTCAAGATGCCATTCCCAGCAGGACTAATAAATTCAGTCAAGTTGTAGGATCCAAATTCGGAAACCAAAACCAGTTGCATTTCTATACATTTAGAACATGAAAAACCTAGAAACAGAATTAGGAAAACAATTCCATTTATAGTAACATTTAAAAAATTGGAATGTTTAACCACAGAGGTCAAATACTTACAAAATAGACACTAAAACTGCTGCAACGGAGACCAGTCCAGATATCCTATATTCATCACACCGAAGTATTGGTGTGTCCAAACTCCAGAGCAGGCTCCACGCAAGGGACTGTCAGCCCCCAACAACGTCTGTGTACTCGATCAGACTGAATTAGATGACAGTCTGCCTGTTCATGCCCCACTGTGACTGTAATTAAAAAGCCACACGTGGTGGGTGGCTACCACATCAGACGGTGCTGCGCTGCATAGACTGTCTGCTCGCCTGCCAGTTACTCTAGACATCTTTTGTGGCCACAACAGACACAAATCAATGGGGGCCGGCACTGCGGGTTAGACGGCCGACTGCAAAGCTGAAGTCTCATATAGAGCCAGTTGGCGTCCCCACTGCTCCACTTCTGATCCCTGTGGCTGTGCCTGGAAGGGCAGCAGAGGATGGCCCAAGCACCTGGGCTCCTGCACTACTTCCAGAGGAAGTTCCAAGCTCCAGGCTAGCCCAGCTCTGGCCACTTGGGGAGTGAACCAGCAAAGGGAAGATCTGTCTCTCCCTAACTGCCTTTCAAGGGCTGGCCATTGAACCTCATGCTTTTCATAAGAACATACAACATTCATGCAAGTGTTGAACTGCCGGCTTTCTTCTGCAACCCACAGGCTCCTGTGGGGCTCACTGCCACTGTGCCACCCCGCTCGTGGTGCAAGGGGAAACGCGCAAGTCTTACCATCTTCACGAGGTAGTGGGCCATGGCGTGCAGATGCCGCGTGGAGGTGCCGCTGCTAATCACAAAATAGTCTGCGTATTTCATTTCCGGAGGGATCCTGATCACACAGATGTCTCTGGCGTTTTCCTCCCTCAGAAGTGAAACCAGCGTGTCGATGTCAAACCTGGGAGTAGCATGGTCTGAAATGCACAAATAGTACTGTCAGGGCGGCAGGCACAGAGCAGGGAGAACCGTGCCCGCCCACCATCAACCAGCACAGCTGCACCTGCCCCAGGGGGAATGCGTGCGTTCCCCAACACCTGCGGGGACTCACTGGCGCTGGACATGGCCAGTGACATTGGCCACATTCCCCAACAAGAATAAATGAAAGGACACGGTGGCACCCAGTGGGGGCCGTATCCAACTGCATCTCAGTCAGTCATAAGCTTCGAGGGCTCCACTGGTGGCGGCCGGCCCCTCACCTGCGACTTCAGTGGAACCTGGCACCAGCCCAGCCCAGCTTTGCTAAGTGATTCTCACCTTGAACCCCCTCTCCCCCTGAGTACGCGCCCCAAGACCGCTTCCCAGGGGTGTGCGCTCCCCAGAGGAGCTACCTGGGCTCCATCCCCCAAGAGGGAACCCCCGAGACCCCGGGACCCGGGCAAGGGCGAGGGGTGGGGACCTCCCAGCCGCCTGAGACCCCAGGCGCCCACCTCCCCGGTTCTCCTTCACAGCCCGTACCTGTCGGGCGGCCCTCGTCGGCCGTGCCCTCCTCCAGCCGGGGACCACCGTGCAGGCCGCGCCCCAGGCCCACGGGCGGCCAGACCCGGCCGAGAGCCGGTGCCGAGGGCAGCCGCGCCGCCGTCGGCAGCCCCAGCCGGGGTCCGGCCCGGGGTCTCAGCGTCCCGCGCCCCACGAGCCGCCCGAGCAGCCGCACCGCTCGGCAGCCCGGGCCCATGGCCGCCGCGCGTCCGCGCCGACGTCACGGGGCGGGGCTTCACGGCGCGGCCGGGAGATTTCACGTCACCGTGTGGGCGGGGCCCGGGAGGCGCACCTGCTGGTCCTGCTCTGGTTGCTTGGGGCTCAGGAGCGCACGGTGACCTGGCAGTGTCCTGGACCGCTCGGCGCGATCCGTGCCCTAAATGTCACCTTCGCGAGGGCAGTCGTGAACGTTTGTTTTCAGCACCTACAACAGAAGGTGCTGCTGTTAATGACCTTGGCGTCAGGACGCGCCTGTGTGAACCACCCCGCACACTGGTCGCTGCTGCTTCAAGGTCCTTTTAAACACAAGATAGGCTTCCTCTGCCTTCCAGATCCTTCTGGTTGCTTCTACCGTGGGTGCCATGTTCTCAGCCCTGTCCCCCACCACATCCCCACCATCCTGAACCCACACTTTGCAACTGAGGGATTGCCTGACAGAAGCAATCAGGTGCAGCGTAAGGCTGGTTTATACGGCTTGACGAGAAACGTCCGTTTAGCATTGCATAGTGAGCACGCACTGGCTCAACCCGGAACGACAGAATGTAGATAACTGGGTGGGAATTTGAGAAGTGAGAGACCGCTTCTGGAAGGAAAAAAATTCTGAAAGGCAGAAAGCCAGACACCCCCTAACTGCTGGTTCTCTCCAAGTGCCCACATAGGCTGAGGCTGTGGCAGAGCAAAGCTGGGAGTCAGGACCTCAATTCCAGGGTCCCGCATGGGTATCAGGACCCAACTCCAGGATGTGCGCTAGCAGGGAGCTGGAGTCGCAAGCCATTAGCAGGGAGCTGGAAGTGGAACAGCCGGGACTTGAACCAGTGTCCATATGAAAGCGCTTGCGTTGCAGGTGGCAGCTTAATGCGCTGTACCACCACGCTGCCTCCCAAGCAGCATTCTAACCACCACCTACTCTGCTTCCTTAGCGCTAAATTCTCTGCCCCCGGCGAAGCTTAAGGCTCCTCGACTAGACCTGTGACAGGAATGCGCTTAGCAAAACATGTTCCTGCATGAACTGTCCCCACCCCCACCCCCACCCCACACACCTGATGGCAGCAACTCTAGCAATTCTGGCAAAATGAAACAACTCACTGCTAGTTGCTGCTCACTTTGGAAAGGACTCCCTGTGGTCTCCTTACCTGCTGCCAACAAGCTCCTTTGGTGGGATGGCTGCAGGTGAGTTTCTTCGGGAAGCGCCCACTGGAGGGCGTCCAAGAGCTGCTGGTCCAGGTGTCTCCCCTGTTTCTGCAGCGGGCCTATGGAACTGGCGCGCAGGTCATATCTGCAGGATGGGGCAGCCTCCAGCCATGCTACTCGGAAGCTGGGTCTCTGAATACTCACGATGTCCCATGGGATTGCTTAGGTCTATCATTCAGGCCGGCTCTTTTAAAAATGTATTCATTTAGGGGCTGGCGTGGTGCAAACTAATCCTCCACCTATTGGTGCTGGATTCCCTGTGGCTGTCAGTTCACAGCTGGCTACTTCACTTCTAATCCAACTCTGTTTATGATCTGGAAAAGCAGTGGAGGATGGCTCAAAGCCTTGGGACCCTGCACCCACATGGGAGACCAGGAAGAAGCTCTCGGCTCCTGGCTTTCACATTAGCTCAGCTTTGGTCATTGAGGCCATTTGGGGGAGTGAACCAGAATGTGGAAGATCACTTCTCTGTGTCTTTACTCCTCTTTCTGTAAAGCCTGCCTTTCAGGCAAAAATAAATCTTTAAAATATTTAAGTTAATTAATTTCAATTAGTTACACAGAGAGAGGGATCTTTCACCCTCTGGCTCACTCCCCAAGTGGCTACAACTGCCAGAGTTGGGCTGTCTAAGGCTGGGAGCCAGGAGCTTCTTTCAGGTCTCCCATGTGGGTTCAGGAGCTAACGGGTTTAGATTGCTTTCTGCTGCTTTTCCCAGACAGGTTAGCAGAGAGCTGGGTTAGAAGCAGAGCAGCCAGGACTCAAATCAGCATCACAAGCAGTAGCTCTGACCCCAACAGGCGTTGGTTTCCTCCATAGCCGCAGACCCAGGGGCGTCTCATCCTCCTGAGTCTGGGGTAGCAGGTTCTGTTACAGCCTGCATGTAGTGGTCACTGAAGACCTGGGATTCACTCCTCTCCCCGCACTTACCCACTAGGCTACCACACTGGGCCCTGCATTTCAGAATGTTGAGGACAAAAGGAACAGCAGGGGGCAGGTGTTGGGTCTGGTGGTTGAGGTGCCACCTAGAAGATGACATTCTGCCCCAGGGGCCTGGACTCGGCCAGCTCTCCATCCCAGCTTCCCACTGTTAGAGTATTGGTATAATGTTAGTATGTTAAAATGTTAAGAATATTAGTGTTAGGTGATATTAGGCCCTTTGGGGTGAGAAGCCACTACTTCCGCTAGGTCAGAAGGCGCCTGCACTGTGGGAAAGCTCCACTTTAGTGATAAATCTGTTCCCTTGTTTCTCTGTGAACTTATCTACCATCTAACCCGGGTGCAGGAAGGCAGGGGCACAGTTCCCCGGCCCCAGGGACTGGAGGAGCCATAAAGATAAGGGTGCCTGGATGGGATGAGCCGTAAATAATAAGTGTGCGAGCATAAATAATAAGTGTGGGAACATGAATAATGAGTGTGAGAACGGAACAGACTGCTTGCACCTAAATTTGTTACTTTTGAGTTGACTTTTATATATGTTACAGCCAAAACAGGGTATATAATCTCCAGCCTTATGTTAAGTTGGGGTCCAATCCACTTGGCTGGCCTGTGTGCCCCAAGTACGATCTGACCCCAGCATGCTGGCACAATAAACTCTGCTTTTTGCATTACCAGCGAGACGCTTTGTTGTTTTCTGGGGGTTGACTAGCTTGCACCCTAATGTCCGGGGGGGAGCTCTGGCCCGGACTCCAACACCACTGATGCACACCTGAGACACAGCAGGTGGCAGCCAAAGGCCTGAATCCCTGTCACCCACACAGGAAGCTGAGACGGAGTTACTGGTCCTTAACTTCTGCCTGGCCCAGCGGCTGCAGGCCTTTGGGGAATGAACCAGTGGATCAGAGGTTTCTGTCTCTCAAATACACAAACCATTTTAAAAGGAATGGCTGTTCATGTTTAAATAGATGAGGAGTCACCCTTGTGGACTCCATGGAGGCTTACAGTGCTGGTCGCTGGGTCAGGGGTTGGCACCATCACGACAGTGAACACTGGGGCAGTAACATGTGGCAGTGTGTTGGAATTCAAGCTCCACAAAAGCACGGTCCCCATCTGTTTTGTCACTACGTCCCTTTAGACCAGAGCAGAGGACTTCTTGGTGCTTGGTAAATGGTTGAGTGATCAAAAGCAGTTGACCAAGAGTCCGGGATGGTCCTGGCATCGACACGGTATCTATTTCAGATACACTGGGAACATGCTTTAAAAGAAAAACCCTTATGGGATGGTTCTCTGCCAGGGACCCCATTAGAAAGGGGTCAGTTTCAGAGACTAATTTCTCACCGTGTGTTCTGGATGTACGTAGTGGACTGAAAGCTCCATCCTCTTAGCTGTGAAACGGAAGGTTCAGCAAAGGCCCCCACATTTACGAACGAGTCACGAGTGTTTGAAATTCATTTACAGCAAGTTCTAGAAAGAAATTCCCAGAGTGATTTATCACCTACAGCATAGGCTTTTGGGGTAAACTGCTTCTCAGCAAACCTTCACCACGACAACCCTCCATATTTTAGGTTATTTCCCCCCCCATCATAGTCTGTGGCTCAACAGAAGTGGGACATCTTGTTGCCAGGAACATGTGCAGAACATAAATCGAATTAATTCACCACTTTAGCTCTCAGTTCTTCTGTTCCACTGAAACTGAGGATTTGGACCGATCTCCGTGGTTACTGCTCTCTGCTGCCCTCTGCTGCTAGCAGATGGGAAGAGCTGCTCTCCAGCCCAATCCTCTAAGCTGGGTTCAACAGCCAGCAGTAACAGGATCACCAACACAGAACTTGACCCCAGAACACTGCGTACATTAAAACCCTGGCGTGAGGCTCAGCCACTGTGTTTTAACCAACCTCCCAACTGCTTCTCTGCTGTAGGAGGACATTGTGACCCTAAAAGGTCAGCGAGCACAGGATTACAGTTGATTGGACAATATTTGTATGCTAAACAACTGAATGGGTGCCTTTTGTGTGACTGATTGTATATCCTTTCATGAGAACAAGGAATGACTGCCTTTTGTACACCTGATGGGATATTATTTGTGTAAGAACAGTTGAGTGGACAGTATGTGTATGAGAACACTTGGTGGAATATACAAGACAAAAGGACTTCCAAACAAAAGCACAGAAACAGTTGATGGGTTTGTTGATGAGCTCAATACCTCCACCCTAATCCTATAGACCCTCAGTGTATAAAGTCTGTTGCCCCTAATAAATTTCGGCTATTGATCATCACTCAGTAGTCCATGCATGTTATTATCGGCTCCAGTGCACCAAGTCCAGGACAGCGACACCCTGCTTTAGGTACTGCTCTTCTGGCCTCCTGGTAGTAACACCCATGACACAGCTCTTCCTACTGCTTCTGATCTTGGGACTCACATAAGTATGCATCATGAGGCTGTGTGCAAAAGGCCTTCCTGTGCTTCATACTTTATTTTTTTTAAGATTTATTTATTTTTATTGGAAAGTCAGATATACAGAGAGGAGGAAAGACAGAGAGAAAGAGCTTCCATCTGATGATTCACTCCCTAAGTGACCACAACGGCTGGAGCTGAGCCAATCCGAAGCCAGGAGCCAGGAGCTTCTTCTGGGTCTCCCACGCAAGTGCAGAGTCCCAAGGCTTTGGGCCGTCCTCGACTGCTTTCCCAGGCCACAAGCAGGGAGCTGGATGGGAAGTGGAGCTGCTGGGATTAGAACCGGCGCCTATATGGGATTCTGGGCGTGCAAGGCGAGGACCTTAACCACTACGCTATAGTGCCTGGCCCCATACTTTATTTTTAAAAAACACTTATTTTTTGAAAGGCTGAGATATAGAAAAAGAGAGGCTCTTTCATTTGCTGGTTCATTCCTCCAATGACTAGGGTTACGCCACCTGAAGCCAGGAGCTTCTTCCAAGTCTCCTAGGTGGGTGCCAGGGGCCCATGCACGTGGGTCATCCTGTTGCTTTCTCAGGTGTATTAGCAAGGAGCAGGATAAAAGTGGAGAAGTGGAGCAGCTGGGCTCCACACAATAGTCTCGTGACTATAGTCATTGCCTTGCATCTCATATGGGTGCCAGTCTGTGTCCCAACTGTTCCACTTCCCATCCAGCTCTCTGCTTGTGGTCTGGGCAAGCAGTTGAAGACGGTCCAAAGCTTTGGGATCCTGCACCCATGTGGAAGGTCCAGAGGAGGCTCTTGGCTTCAGATTTGCTCAGCTCTGGCTATTGCGGCCACTTGAGGGAGTGAACCAGCAGATGGAAGGTTTTTCTCTGCCTCTCTTTCTCTCTTTATGGCTTCCTTTTTAATAAAAGTAAATGATCTTTAAAAAAAAGTAGAGCAGCTGAGACTCAAAGCAGTGCCAGTGTGGGAGGCCAGACTGCAGGCTAGGGCTGAATGTGATGAGCCATCGAACTGGTACCTGTGCATTCCCGTCTTTCATATGGACTTGTAGCAGTAGGTCAGGCAGAGACTACACACCCACTTTACAGAGCAGACCTTCTTGAGCAAAGGCTAGAGTCAAACACACAAGTCATTCATCTATAGGATCAAGCTCAGGGCTTCAGCAGTTACCGTAGAGGAGGGTTTGACATGTGGGCCAAGATAATGTTTTGTTGCTGGGGCCTGTCCTGTAGTTTGTAGAACGTTCAACAGCACCCATGGCCCCCACCCACCAGCCACTAATAGCATCCTACCCTGGTGGTGACAACCACAAACATCTCCACTTACGGCCAGGTGTGCCCTCCAAGCCACTGCTCCTGCCATCACATCCATGGAAAGGAGGCTCCCAATTCCCACCCTGCAAACTGTGTGTTGTTTGGAAGCAACCTCAAAGCCAACACCTTCATCTTGGCTTTTTTCCCTAGGATGTGGACGAGCTAGACGATACGCTGGTCTCCCGGAAACCTTCACCAGCCCTTGACAAATTCTGCAAAACCACGTGGGATTACACTTGTGTTCACATTCCCTCTGTCATTCCAAAAAATATTTTTCGTAGCCCCTTTCCGAGCCAGGATCTGATATGCATCCTCGAATCTGTACTTGGTTTCCACGTCTATTTAGTCTCTATTCTTGTAGAACATGCAAACTCTGTAATCTGAACCAAGCAACTCTTTTGAGTTTTTCTCTATTTTATTGAAAAGCAGAGACCGAGTTCCATTCAGCTGGTTCACACCCCCATTTGCCTGTGACCTGCCAGGGTTGACTCAAAGTTGAAGGCAGAAGCCACAGGCTCGAGCAGGCGTGGCATGTGGAAGGCAGGAAACCAATTCCTTGAACAATCAGTGCTGGAGGCAGGAGTGGAAGGTGGGACTTGAACTCCATTTCAGGGTGCAGGCATCTAATCCAGGGTATTAACTGTAAGCCAAACATCTATCCCCCATTTTTAAATTTATTTTTTATTTGAAAGGTTGATGTTTACAGAGAGAAAGGGGGTGTTGAGGTCTTCCATCACTGGTTCACTCCCCAAGTGGTCACAGAATACAGAACTGAACTGATTCAAAGCCAGGAGCCTCTTGCAGGTCTTGCATATGCGTGCTTGGTTCCATGGACTTGAGCCATCCTCGTCTGCTTCCCAGTTCATAAGCAGGGAGCTGAATTGGAAGTAGAGCAGCCAGGACATGAACTGGCACTCATTTCGGATGTTGGCGCCATGGGGCAGAGAATCAGCTTGCTGTGCCACACCTCCCCCAACACATGTGTTTTTACACAAACGTTTTGACTGGAATGTGACCTGGCTCTGATGTATGTAACATGTTTGGTTGTTTTCTGACTGCAACGGCAGGGCTGAGCATCTGTGACAGACGGTGTGGTTCACAAAGCCTAACATTTACCACCAGGCTTGACACAGTCTCCTAACCTAAGCCAGGACTCTCTCCTCATTCCTTCCCCATGTCTTGATCGCTACTCAGAGGGGCCAGGGTAAATTGCTTACAGAGAATCTCCTGTTTGGAATGGCTTCACTACATACATCAAAGTCTTAAATGTATTTTCAAGTAGAAAATCTCTGAGATGATCAAGGCTCCATAGGGTGGCCTTAAACAGGTGTTTACCACAAATTGTAAATTGTAAGTTGGAAAAATTAACACAGTACCAACGTCTTTCCTCTTATCACACTTTATTTTTCAGAAAGGAGAGGAAAAGAATGTCAAGTGTGACACAGGGCAAGTGGTTTTAGTGACAAACGAAGGTGCAATCCTTACATCATTTAAGAGAAACAGGTAGGAAACTCAGGGTCTTCCCTCTTAGGAAATCCTAATATGTGATTTCAATGTGCAGACATCCTGATAGGTACACACAGGCGAGTCGGCTCTGAGGCCCAGGCTGTGCTAACCAGAAGTCCCTGGGGGAAAACGAAGGCATGAAAACTCTCCCTTCGCTCAGCTGGGCGGTGCCAGTCGGTACCCAAACACAGGGCTGACATCTCTTTATCCCATTAGTGGTCCCTCCCTTCCGCTGAGGACAGTAAGCATGTGCATGGCATTGAGGACTGACCCTGATGTGGCTGTCAGGAACCCCAGCACGTTCCACGCCCAACAGCGCTCAGTGTGGACGGAGCAGGGTCCCCCAAATAGGACTCCAGGGTAGGCCTTGTTCCGCGGAAGGCTAGCAGTGTCCAGCCTGCCCTTTGCTGCTCTCCGGGTCAGACTGCAAGGAGTAACCCTCCAGTAGAGCCACCCTAATCACTGCTCAAGATCTTGCAAGGAAGACACAGCTCAAGACAGAAAGGGCTGCTAAGCTGTTTCACTACGAAGAGGCAGGTCCCAGTTCACACAGCATGGTGTCCCCCCCATACAACAAACCCCACCCCCCCCCGCACACAACACCCTCTGTGTTTTACAAGAATATTTAGTAAAAAAAAAAAAGTGGAGCTACACTCTTGTACAAGTGGTGGGGCGATTTAGAGAGCTTCTGGAAGATTTTGGAGCAGCGGATCCTTCTCCTGGTTTCCCGGGAGTGACACGGCCTTGGCGTGGCCGAGGAAGGCACTCAGGCCCTTGCCCTCCTCCGTGCCCCCGGCGTTACTTCCTATTGGTTTGTATTCCCTGTGTTTTCTGAAAACAGTGTGTGAGACAGTTATTTAAAAAAGAGAGAAAGATTCAGCTGAAATACATTACTTTCCATAATGTTTCAAGCCAGGTGCAAATGGTTAAATTCCATATAACCTAAGCTGTGGCTTGCAAGACAGCTCTGTTAGCAAAAAACCAAATATACAACAACAAAACCCCCACAATGTTTCCCTTCTTCATGCGTACTTTCATTGTGACATTAGGTAGGCACAACTCCGTGACTGACAGCAGGTAGCATTTGGGAGATTAAAAAAAAAAAAAACTGCAGCAAAAATAACAGGACCGTTTGGAAATCATCATTCAAAGACGACCCTCCCCACCCCCAGCCAAAACACACACACACACACACACACACACACACAGAGAGAGAGAGAGAGAGAGAGAGAGAGAGAGAGCGCAAGGTTTAAAGGCAAGCTCAACATCACCACCACTATCAGGTGCCTGGACAAACTACTTAACTGAGGACACGGAGTCAGAGGCAGGGCCTTACCTGTACAGGTGCATGGAGAACGCGGCGAGGCACAGGACCAGGCAGCCAGCGGCGATCAGGATGCCGTTCAATGCTTGCAGGGGCCACGCCGAGTCTGCACAAGCACAGAGGGCAGTGCCGCTCAGCTGCGGCTTCCATCCTCAGGCCCTGTGAGTGCACCGGGCGCGCAGTGGACTCCGCACCACACCCCAGCTTGGCCCTAACGCCTGCAACTGGGCCAATACCGAAACTCTCTCCTCCACCACCTCTCAGGCCCAGCCGGCAGCCCTATGTCCCCTGCCAGGACCCCTCAGTGGCCTGCTGGCGTCCATCCATCCTCACTTTCCAATCACGCGCCGTCTGCGCCAATGGCACAGCGCCCTGCCCGGTGGGCTGCAAGCCCGGGTCTCCACGGCCTCCCGCAGCGGTCTGTCTAAATGCGGTGCTCTTGCTTGTAATTCAAGTTGTGGCTCAGGCCAGGCGCCTTCCCAAGCACCCTCCGCACTACAGAGCCCATCTCTACCCCAGTTTATGTTCTCCATTATTGCTCGTGCTAAAACAACCTTAGCGCACAAGCAAACTGAAAGCCAACAGAGGAGCCACGTTTAACAGGCAGCGCCCAGACTGGGCCAGCTGCTCAGCTGCAGCCCGTTGGTTTGCTGTTCAGCCAGTCAGGTGCCCCTGCTTTGCTGTTCAGCCAGTCAGGTGCCCCTGCTTTGCTGTTCAGCCAGTCAGGTGCCCCTGCTTTGCTGTTCAGCCAGGGAAAGCCCAGCCGCTCTGCGCTGGAGTTGATGGCAGGAGTTACGATTCTGTGAGTGATTTTTGAAAACCTTGGGTGGGGGGTGGCCACATAGGGAAGTGACCCCAGCAGTGCGCAGGATGCAGAGGTACTTCCTGGCTGCCTTCCTCCTTTCCCTTGCTGTCCCCAGCTCCCCGACCCCTAACCCTGCAAGAAGCAGGATTCTCTTGACTATGATTCATGGATCAGCAAACGTTTCAGTATATTTTTCTGCACAAGAGAGGCTCCGAGTCCAAATGATTGTGATGAGTTAGTTATGGGGTTGTATCTGGCAGCATGCCATGTCAGGAGCAGGACGCCCCCTGTGGGGTGCACACCATGGAATCTGGCTCCTCCATCCCAACCGTGTAGCCCATCTTGGAAGAAAGATGTGGAGGATCTTACTATAGGATCAGTCAGGACAAAAATCCAGTTGGAGTAATTAGGAAGAGTCCTAATTTTGGATTCAGGGAAGTCCAATGCCACCAGTATATGCAAATTTCTAAATGAAATCTTTTAGCCACTTTGTTCAGATTTCACCGCTGCAAGCAGTAGGAGGGCAAACAGCTGGATTTTTTTTTTAAGTGAAGATCTAAATAAGGATGCTGAGGAGGGGAGTGGGGGTGAGTGCAACGGGCTAACCCCCTGCTTGGGACACCCCATACCATGTCGGAGTGCTGACTTGTGTCCTGGACCCCTGCCATCTGCCGGAGAGACCCCCACGGAGTTCCTGGCTGCAGCCTGCCTCAGTCCTGGCTGTTATGGCCAGTGGGGAGTGAACCTGCCAAGGGGTAATCTCTCTCTCACTGTATGTCTCTGTCATTCTGCTTACAAATAAATCTTTAATATATATATATATATATATCAGGGAGGAGAGGTGCTGGATCAAATTCTGGAGGAAAAGAGGGCCCTCGCTAGCAGCATCTCATCCTGGCTTCATGTCCGTGTCCAGGATCCCACAGGAGTCTCTCCTCTCTGCTGTTTTTTGTATTGGGTTTTACGCTTTTCCCCTGAAGTACAAGCCCATTGGAGCAGGCAATGGTCAGATCCCTTCACTGCCAGCCCATGGTCAAGGCTGACTTTTTCCACCCAAAGCCTTTTCTCTGGCCACTATTTTCCCGAGTCCCTCTTTGATCAGCATCCCCCTCAGGAGATTTCCTGCCGGATTTTAGCAGCAGTTCTCAAATCCTCATGGAGAAGAGTTTAGTGTATTCTGCACAGAAGTAAAGTCAGACACTGACTGTGAAGTCTTCCATAGCTTTAAGCACGGGACATGCACCTGGGACAGGCAATGCTTGTAGAACCGCGAGAGAAGCCTCACCTCTCCTGGAGACAGAGACCAAGGTGCTGGCGAGGGCCAAGCTGGCGTCATCGCCCAGGGTGAGGTTCACGCAGTACCTCCCTGAACCACTGAAGTTCCTTCTCACGGTCAGCAGGCACCCCTCGTCCTCGCTGATGTCCACGGTGTCACACCAAGAGCTCCCAGCACTCTGGCAGGTAGGGTCAGAAATGATGGTGCAGACCTCGGTGGGGAAGCTGTGGAGGGGAGACGGTGGGCAAGAAGACACAATCAAGGGTGGGAAAGAAAGGTAAGGTTAGCTTCTATCCACTGATTCACTCCCCTGCAAATACACACAACCAGCCGTAACTCAATCCACATTTCCCGTGAGGGTGGAGGAGCCCAGCTGCCTGAGCCATCATCTGCTGCCTCCCAAGTCTGCACTGGCAGGAAGCTGGAGTCAAGTGCTGGAGCTGGGAATCCAGCCTGCAGCATTGACACTCATTTTTAAAACGCAGATTTACAGAGGGAAGGAGAAGCAGAGAGAAAGTTCTTCCATCCACTGGTTTACTTCCTAAAGGGCCATAGGGTTGGAGCTGAGCCAATCTGAAGTCAGAAGCTTCTTCCAGATCTCCCACATGGATTCAGGGTCCCAAGGCTCTGGGCCATCCTCAACTGCTTTCACAAGCCACAAGCAGGGAGCTGGATGGGAAATGGAGCAACTGGGACACAAATTGGAGCCCATGTGGGATTCTGGTGCTTGCAGGCAGAGGATTAGCCAATTGAACCATTATGCCAGCCCAGGATGCTCATATTTAACAAAAAATTTAAACATGAGAAATCATGACATTTCTTTACAAAACTGACTACAGTCCTCTCCTTCTTCAGACCACCTGGCCCTGACCTGCCACATGATATTGGCTCTTCAGCAGGTTGGGTACTGAGCTCCATCTACACGCAGGAGGAGGAGGAAGGGTCCTGCCCAGCCTCCGGGCTGCCATTCCTCCTCCCGCCCCAGCTCTCTATCCTGTGAAGAGACACACACAGTTAAGATGCTAGAAACACCATGTCAAACTTGCAGGCGCATAAATATCATATAAATGCCTGACATGGCCCATAACTGTGGCAGCAGCAGAGACGGCTGTTTCTGTGGGATCGGCTCCATCAACTCAGTCTGGCACTGAGTCTTGGTGGCACTGCATCCCACCACATAGGCTGGAGAGCGGCTTAGTTTTTCCTCTTACCTAGTTAGGTCATGGTTCCACAAGCACCCCGTCTCTTGATTCATCTGCTTATTCACAGCTGCTTGCTTCAGAGGGTTCATGGGAAGAATGGAATTGAGGGCTGCAAGGTGGCAAGCTAATCCACTGCCCACAGTACTGGCACCCCTATGGGCTACTCCACATCCCGTCCAGCTCCCTGCTTATGAGCTGGGAAAGCAGTAGAGGATGGCCCAAGTCCTTGGGCACCCGCATACACATGTACACCAGGAAGAGGCTCTTGGCTCCTGGTTTCACGTCAGCTCAGCTCTGGCCATTATGATCATTTGGGAAGTGAACCAGTGGATAAAAGTTCTCTTTCTCTCCCTGTCTCTCTAACTCTGCCTTTTTAAAAAAAATTATAAAAACAAATCTTAAAAAAAAACTAAAATGTAATTGAAAGGTGAATTTATTTTGGGAAAGATTTGGAAATCTGTGTACATCAAGCAGTAGTCAAACAGTTCGTGGAAAATGTGTATAATAATAATAATGTGACTGTAAATTTCAAAATCTTTATAATCTAAAAAGTGCTGTTTTATTTCTGTTTTCCAGGAATTTTTAAAGTCCACAGGTAGACATATATTTTATGAATTTGCATCTATGTATAACTGATTTTTAGTGTCTAGTTAATTGGAACTATTAGTTAATGTCTATTTAAGCAGCTATTTGATACATATCCATATATTTATTCTTGTTCAGTTTGTTATAAAGAGTTGTGACCAAATTATAAGAAATTATATAATTTGTTAGAAACAGCTTTGCAAGTCATAGAAAGAGAAGCTTATAAGGCATTGCTATTCACACGTGCGTGATAGTCCCACACAGGCTTACTGTTCACCAGGAGTGCCAGGGAGACCAAGTCAGCCCTGAGTCAGTGTCCTGGCCTGAGCTCCAGACAGCCTGAGCCAGTCTCCTGACCCATAAATGGCTGTCACACAACACATCCTCCTTAACCCACAGCCTAAGTCCTGACCAGTTTCCAGCTCTAGTGAGACAAGTGTGTGTTGGGTGGTGCCTCCTAGGGTGCTGGGTCCCTCCCTCCACAGTCCGGGATTCTAGCCATCAACTTGCAGGGTGGCTGTACTCACGTTCCCTGGCAGCTCACAACCAAATCCACCAGCGAGCTGCCGGGCTGGGGCGCAGGGACCTCCTCAATCCGGACAATGTTCACCTCCAGGATTCCCTCTTAACAGAACAAGCAGCAGAGAAAAACAGAGGATGTGACCACAGCGACGACATGGGAACAATGTTTGTGTCCCCCCACACCAGAAATCTGTAAGCTGAAATCTGAACACCCCGCCCTCATTCCCAGGAGACGGTGTTACGAGGAGGGAGGGAACGCGGCCCGTGCTACGTGCTGGGATCATTATCCTTGCCTCTCCCACCCCACGGAGGCAGGCTGTTGCCCTACACCATGTCTACCAGAACCTTGGTTTTGAACTTGGCCTGCAGAGCTGTGAGAAGCACGCATGAGCTGTTTAGATGTCTCCCAAGCTGGAGTGCTCCTTCACCAAGGCTGCAGGGGACTCAGACGCCCCCCTAACCCAGTCAGAGCCCAGCGCCTTCTGGCTGTGCAGAAGGCATGGGACCCAGGAATCCGTTCCAGCAGCTGGGATACACACCCACATACCCATGCGGCATTCTCAAGGTCAGACTGGGCTGCTGTCAAGTCCAACCTGGATTTCCATCTGCAGAGTCTGTGTGTCTGTTAGAAAGCTACACCCTCTCTGGCAGGTGTTTTAGGAAAAGAGGAACCTTCCCCACACCCCTTACCCCAAGGGCAGGTGTGGCCACCCCCATCAACCTGTGCTCCTGAGGGCTTCTCCAGAGCGAGGGGCCTCAGCCCAGGCATCCAGCTGCCTTCTCAGCTGGCCCTGCCCAGAATGCCCAGCTGTGCATGTGTGGGCATATGCTCACTGCCTTTTGCACACTAGAGGTGTGACATGGTGGAGGAGTGTGAACTTGGGAGAACTCAGGGCCAGCTGTCCTTCACCTCCTATTCATGCAGCTTGCTGGGACAGTGGCAGTCCAGCGCAGGCTTCCCAGAGGCGCTCCTTTCCATCAAGCTGTCTAAAGAAGTCCAGGGTGGGCAGCTGGTAAGCTACGAGGGTCCTGACTCATGCACAGCTGGACCTGAGTGAACATCCACCCCCCACTACCCCAGCCTTACCCACAATGGTGAGGGTAGCTCTAAAGTAGCCATATCTGTTAATCTGGCAGTTTTCAACAGGATTCTCACTCAGCTCCAAGGAGTTGGCAGTAGCAGGTCCTGGAGAGAATGAATAATTAGATCTGAGAGTAGTTGGTGAGCTTGCAACAGGTGCACAGGATGTGATCCAAACTCTACACATGAGAATGTGAGCCCTGAGTGCTTGCTGTGCAAATGAAAGTATGAATAGACTTTTTAAAACTTTATGGAAATCGAATCAAAAGATAAAGTTATCTTGGTGCCAAAAAAATCTATGAAATCTATGCATCATTTTTGCATGGTACACATTTTCATGAATTTCTTGAACTACCCTCATATGGTTTCATCTCCTCTGGCCTGCTTCATTTCATCATGATTGTTGTACCATGCATTTTTAAAAAAAGGGATTTGCTTTGTTTATTTGAAAGCTAGAGACAAAAGGAGAGAGAATCTTTTATTAGTTGGTTCACTCCCCAAATGGTTGTAACAGCTGGGTTGTGGAAGGCTAAAGACCTGAAACTCCATCCGGCCTCCCTGCGGGTGGCAGGGTCCCAAGTCCTGCGCCCATCTTTTGCTGCTTTCCTAGATGCATTAACAGCAAGTTGCATTAGAAGTGGAGCAGCTAGGGCCCAGCGCGATAGCGTAGTGGTTAAAGTCCTCACCTTGCACGCACCAGGATCTCATATGGGCGCCAGTTCTAATCCTGACAGCTCCACTCCCATCCAACTCCCTGCTTGTGGACTGGGAAAGCAGTCGAAAAATAGCCCAAAGCCTTAGGACCCTGCACCCGTGTGGGAGACCTGAAGGAGGTCCCTGGCTCCTGGCTTTGGATTGGCGCAGCTCCAGCCATTGCGGCCACTTGGGGAGTGAATCATCAGACAGAAGATCTTTCTCTCTGCTTCTCTTCTTTGAATATCTGACTTTGCAATAAAAATAAATAAATCTTTAAAAAAAAAAAGTGGAGCAGTTGGGACTTGAGCCCGTGCTTGCCTGGGAAGCCTGCATTGAAGGTGGTGGCTTACTCTATTGTGCTGCAATGCTGCCTGTGTCATGTTGATAGAGTTTCAGCTTTTCAAGTGGGTCCGTCTGTACGAACCTCTACATGCTTGGGTCAGACTTCTGCACCAAATTAGTAGCAGGCAGCCAGGCTGAACCTGCCGCGTGACTCTGCAGTGCCCGGAGGGGGGTTTCTCGGAGCCTTTCCTGGAGTGAGCACACCGCACAACACACGTGGGAAATGTGGCTGGGCAGGCTCTTGGCAATGTCCCTGAGTTGCTGGGAATCTTTGGCTGTGATGGAAGGACACTGGCTCAGGCTGCTCCAAGATTAACTGATGTGCTCCACAGCGCAAGTGTGTGTGTGTGTGGGGGGGTGGGCAGAGGGAGGCACTTAAGGTCACTGTTTCCTCTCCGGAAAATGACCAAGTTCATTCTTGTGAAATTCTTGGCTGACAGATCTGAGCAGTCCATTTAGAGCAGCAACTCATAATCCTTTTCTGGGGAAAAAAAAATGTTGGGGCTAGCATCGTGGCATAGTGGGTAAAGCTGCTGGCTGTAACACTGGCATTCCACATGGGCACCAGTTCAAGTCTTGGCTACTCCACTTCTGACCCAATTCCTTGCTAATGGCCCGGGAAAAGCAGTGGAGGATGACCGAAGTACATAGAGCCCCAGAGGGAGACCCAGAGGAAGCTCCTGGCTCCTGGCTTCTGCCTGGCCCAGATCCCTCTCTCTCTCTCTCTTTATCCCTTTCACTCCCTGGAACTCTTTCAAATGAATCAAGTAAATCTTTAAACAAACAAACAAACAACAAAGAAAAAGATTTATCAGATAATCAAAGTCACTGATTCTGCCTTCGGTAGAATGCCTACAAATCGCATGTTTCTTTATTCATTGCAGCAAAAAAAAAAAAAAAAAACCCTTTTATTTCCATTTGGTCCATGGTTTAAGAGAGAGTTTTCCATGAACTTTAAAAAAGAGATTTATGTATTCATTTGAAAGGCACAGTGGCAGAGAAACAAAGAGAGAGAGAGAGATCTTCCACCCGCTAATTATCTCCCCAGTGGCCACAACACTCAGGGCTGGGCTTAGCTGAAGCCAGGAGCCTGGCACTCCATCCAGGTCTCCCCTGAGGGTGACAGGGCCTCAGGTACTTGGGCCATCTGACAGCGCATCCCAGGTCCACATGAGCAAGAAGCTAGATCAGAAGTGTGCAACAGCCAGGACTCCAACCAGTGCTGGGACAGGAGCTACCAGCCCTCCACATGGCAGTTGGACTTTTACACCATGACACTGGCCCTTCCTTCCATGAACCATTTGTGGTCTCCTCAAGCGTGTGTCATGTATACCACCAGTAACTGGATACTGGACTTCCAACAGCACCGCCAGCTCAGAAGGAGACTTCTGTGACTTATAAATAGCATCTGGCCGCCCCAGCCGCCCCTGCAGCCTACTTCGGTCTCACCCTTGCAGCTGCATTTGGTCTCTGTTTTCATCTGTGCTTCATTGTGAAGCCACTGACCAAAGCAGAGAGAAGAGGATTTTGGTAAAAAAATAAATAAATAAAAAAATAAGTAATGTCATGCTCACTAACTCAAGTCTGGTAATCTGGTCTGGGTAGCCAGGAAGTCTCTCTAGAAGAGAACTCTTTAAAAAAAAAAAACACATACTTATTTTAATTTATTTGAAAGGCAGAGAAAACAGAGGGAATAAATGAAGAGAGAAAGATTTGTAGCAGCCAGGGTTGGGCCAGGTCAAGGCCACAAGGTGGGAGTCCCGGCCTTCCCTGTGGGTGGTAGGAACCCAGCTACTCCGACCATCCACAGCCTCTCCTAGGGTCCCAAGTCAGAGTCAGGAATTGAAGCCGGGGCTCCAGATACAGGACTTGGATATCCTAGCCATGAGGCCTGAGGCCTGCTGCCCCCCGTTGGAAAATGTCTCAATGCTGAAGACAGCTGTAGTTTATTGTATGCGTAGCAAGATCATTTACACTTGTACATAAAGAAATACTGAAATAAAGCTCTATGATGGAACAACCCGAGGGGAAAGAAAAATCAAAATGGTCTCATACTCTTGGACCTGGGGTTGGGATTAGGAGGAATCTATTCATCCATCGATCAGAGAATGGGGAAACACACGGAAGTATATCCGTTTGTGGGACACTCTAGGGCCACGATACAGGATGGGAGCTACATATGATGTTTGCTAAGTGTGAGTGTGGTGGGGGAGGCAAGCTGTAGAATAACAAGTACAGTATGAACCCACGTACCAAAACCCCCAAAACAACAGGGCCAAGGTACTTAATGTTTGTGGAAGCACAGACCAAGACAACTCCCAGTTACTGATACAGCTTTGTTCTGAACAGGAAACTCACTCCAGACATTTCTATCGCTTGGATCATGCATTATTTTTCATCCAAGACATTTCAGAAAAGAGTTTATCAAAATCAGCCGTAATGATACACATTGTCTTAATTTAGACATTTCTGGATTCAAGGAGAGATCGTCTTTAACTACTTTATCACTAACACATACTTTATGGGAACAGTGTTATTTACAGCTAACAGGTTTCAGTAATTACTGAAAAATTACTGCAAGAATTCCTAGGAGCCCGAGGGTGTCCTCCCTAGGGCTGGAGTGTGGCTCCCTCTTGTGACCAAGGAGAGAATGTCAGCCCACAGCTGCACAGGTGCATCCTGGGGATGCCAAGACAGGGCCACCTGGCCTGGTGGGGAAGGATGGGGTGGCAGGTACCCCTGCTGCGAGGATGGTATTTCATTAATCAGGTTTGGCATCCAGAGCAATTTAAAAAGGCAGACAGTCCAGCTCTGAGATTCTCTCAGGGTTGTGGCTCAGGAATTGAATAGGGTCATGTGGGGCACTGGGATGGGGTGCGGTGGGTGTGAGCATGGTGCGGACTAATAAGGGTGTGGTATGAGAAGGGGTGGAGGAAGGATGAGGAAGGGGTCCTGGCCAGTTCCAGGGGGGTAGTGGGCCTTATCGCAGCTCTGAAGAATGGAAAATACACAGAAGAGATGGGGGTGGGTGTGGGGAGGCAGTGTCTGTGGGCATGATGAGAGCTGGTGCCAGTCAGCAGGCTCACAGAGCTCCCCACAGGGCGACATTCAGTGCTGGGGATGCCTGCTTCCCACTTTTGCAATGCCTGCTTCAACCCTGGCTCTGCTTTGGACCCTAGGTTTCAATTGCACACACTGGCAGGCAGCAGGTGTGGCCAACCTGGACTGACAAGCTTGGGGCTTTGGTTTGGCCCAGTCCTGCCTGCTGTGGGCCTTTGGGGCAGTGACCCAGCAGATGGAAGATCTGCCTCTGCCTGTCTGTTCCTCTGCCTTGCAGAGACAATGAAAATAAAAATTTCTAAAAAGAAAAAAAACTTTCTATGAATCATCCCTCAAACTCTGTTTGCAAAGTTACTGTAAATATATTCTCCTTTCTTCCTTGTTCTAAAAGCTTCCAATGGCTTTTGAAATCTACTCAGTGGGACCAGTGCCATGGCATAGCATGCTAAACCTCTGTCTGTAGTGCTGAGATGCCATTTGGGCACTGGTTCATGTCCTGGCTGCTCCACTTCCCATCTAGCTCCCTGCATGCAGCCTGTGAAAGCAGTAGAGGATGGTCCCAAGTTAACTTCTTGGGGCCCTGCACCCATGTGGGAAACCCAGAAAAGGTTTCTAGCTTCAGACCAGCCCAGCTGCAGCCATTGTGGTCATTTGGGGAATGAACTAGTTGATGGAAGGTCTCTCTTTGTCTCTAATTCAGTCTTTTTTTTAAAAAAAGTCTTCTTACAGAGACTTGGCACACTCCTTTGAAGATGGAAGTTAGCTGCACCACTTGCACGGGTGTTTGGGCAGCAGTTAAAGCATCCCCAGAGGATCCCCCTGCAGAAGGACCTACCTGGAGAAGGGCTGGGCACTGGGGACGTGGGTGGAGGTGAGGGCACGAACGAAGGGCAAGGGCCAGGCGCTGTGGCCTCCACAGTGAGGTTGAGGCTGAACGTGCCGTTGAGCATGTAGGTGTGGTTCAAGCTTTGGTTGCTGGAGAGGACCAAGCCGGTGTTATCCCCGAAACTCCACTTGTAGCTGACGCTGGACTCGTTGAGGAAGTGGCTGGGGTCGTGAAGGAAGACGTTGAATGTGATGGGCACGTCTTTGAGGAAGGTGTGGTCGGACGCATTTCGGTCGTTTTTCTGGGACATGGTCACAAGGACTGGAATCTGATCTAAATTGAACCACCAACCCAAGGGAGGAAAGAAAGGGTCCGTGATTGCTTGATCTGAAGTGGAAAATTTCAATGGTGCTCTTAGAGTTAAAAAAGAATAATCTAAAGTTAGGGGATAACTCATAGTTTTTATTATTCTTATTCTCCCTTCCCACTGGCATGTTTTTCTCAAGCTACTCCAGAAAGCACAGATGCAGGGGAACATGGTTCAAACTGAGGCTCTAGCACGGGTGCAGGACGCTGGGAGCCAACACTTCCTGAACCCTCTGATGTCATCAGGACCAAGTGGCTCATCCTTGGGGACCTGGGAGCCAGAACACTCACCTGTCACCACGTACATGTCTTTAACCTGGGCGACAGGGAAGAACGCCCGGCCGTGTCTCCGGTAAACGGTCACTGCCATGAGCTGAGGGCCGAGGGTCACATTGGTTGTGTTCAGCGAGAGTTTCACAGAACAGCGGCCCAGCTTCTGGAAATACTGACCTTGGAGAGAAAGGGAACATCCGGTGGTTGGCTCCATCCAACAGTCTGGTCTGTATAGGACTGGGGGAGGTTGGGGTGGAACTGGGCAGAAAGTGCTGCTTCGGCGGGGAGACGGGGCCAGTTGCACATAAAGCCAAACCAGGATTCCGGTTGAGCACAGGAGGCCTTCCCGGCCAAGAGCCCTGGCCGATGCCTGGAGTTAGACTCCGTAGTGGGTGTGCTGTGGGTTTTTCCTAGTTCAGACACACCCAGGACACGATTTAACTTACAAATGAGGTACAGCAAGACATTAACGTCAAATTACAATAATAGAAAATTCGTGAAAAAATGCACATGATGCAAAAATCATGCCTGGATCGCCTAAGTTCTAGCACCAAAACAAGCTGGTCTTTTACATCTGTTTTTTTAACTATTGAGGAAATGTCCTTGTTGCTGCAGAACAAAGTAATGGGAATGCAATCTCTCTCTCTCTCTCACTCAAGGGTCCAGATAAACGTTAACATTTTGGGGCTACAGTTGACTGTTAGTGACTGAAAGCATAAAAAGCGACACTAAGGACAAGGCAGGTGTGACAAGGGAGAGATCCAGCGAGGTCACACGGCTGGCCTTTCATCTACCACACATAAAGCGCCTTCTGTACGTTGAGTGATTTGACACTGAAGTACACATTCATGGCCCCTAGATAATTAATTTTTTAAATTTAAAAAAATTTTATTTTTAATATTATTTATATAGTTGACAGGGAAGCATGCTCGTGTGGACCTCCAATTAGGGTGGGACACATTTTTAAAAATTTACTAATATATTTGAAAAGCAGAGTGGCAGAGAGAGAAAGAGAGATCTTCCATCTGCTCATTCATTTTCCGGATGCCTGCAACACTGGTTGCAATGGCTGAGGTTGGGCTAGCCCAAAGCTTGGAGCCAGGAGCTTCTCCCATGTTGGTGAGGGGCCCACGCACCTAGGCCATCTTCTGCTGACTTTCCAGGTACACTGGCAAGGAGATGGAACAGAACTGGAGTAGTTAGGGTGCTGGCTTTGCAGGAGTTGGCCTAACGCACTACACTACAACACCAGCTCCACAGAAGACACATTTAATACAAGAGTGAGGGAACAATTATTTATCCAAAAATCAACTTCATTTTTATAATACTATGATTTCAAACTATACCATGAAGCAGTTTTTAAAAAGAGACTAGAATTCTCCACTTTCTAGAAACCTTGCCTGTGAAAATATGATTGATGATAAAAGGCACACAGAATAAGCTAGAAGCAAAAGGGAACAGCAGACTCCACAAACGCATTTGTAGGATACCTTGGAGTCACCAGTTTGCTTGTTCCAGCCCTCCCTGGCTCTAGCTGCCTGGGGCTCACCCATGTAAGCGCCTCTGCAGGGCTCACAGCCTTGCTTAATCTAATGGTGGAGGCTGGCATGACCTGGGAAAAACTGAGCAACGTAACAGGGTGCTGATAAGGTGGGGTGGCATGCAGGTCACGTCTGTACACGGCCACACCCATGAGGGCTGCCTGGAGTTGGGGAGGTGTGACCATGGCTCTGCTTCCCCAAGGGGCATAGGTGAGGCAGAGCAGGGATCTTGCAGGGCCCAAGTGATGCTCTGAAGAACTCAGTAGTCTAAGGAAGAGAGACAAGAATACACCAGACTGTGCTGGAGCATCTGTGAGGGCTCAGCGGGAGGTGGCAGTCTTGTGGGTGAAGCCAGCAGAGCCCCAGGCTGGGGGCTTGACCTGGTGAAGCTAGTGCAGACTGAACTGGACTAAGTGAGTCTGGAGTGTTGGCGGACACGAGCAATTCCAGGAAAGGATCCAAGGGACTGGATGGTGACAGCGCAACAGCAGCTTCCAAGGACTAAAGGCGATGGCAGAACACCTGCTATGTGTTGTACTTTGTGCCACAGGCACATCATTACCCCCTTGCTCAGAGGTGTGAGGAAGCCACCAGAAGCAGCCAGAGTTTTCTGTGGTCTCACAGTCTGGAGGTGGTTTGACTGGTAGCAGTTTCTTAGAGCCTCAATTCCAAGCAGCATCTGGTAATGCTTACAAGAAGTATTCAGCAGCCTGGCTAATAATATCCTCAAACTGCTCCTCCTCAAAATAACCTTTTGACCAATCATAAAGTGACCTGAATATCATGGTTAACAAAGTAAAAGCGGGGGAAAGGAGGGTGGTGTGGTGGCTCAATCAGCTAATCCTCCACCTGCAAGCACTGGCATCCCAAATGGGCACCAGTTCATGTCTTGGTTGCTTCCCACTCAGCTCCCTGATTATGGCCGGGGAAAGCAGGTAAGGATGGCCCAAAGCCTTGGGACCCTGGACCCATGTTGGAGACTCGGAGGAAGTTCCTGGCTCAGCTTCAGCCATTACAGACATTTGGTGATTGAACCTGTGCATGGAAGATCTTCTCTCTCTGTGTCTCCTTCTCTGTAAATCTGCCTTTCCAATAAAAATAAATAAATGCTTTTCAAAAAAGAAGGAAGACTATGTCAGGGAAAAATGGTGGTTAGATCATTATATGTCCACACAGTGAAATACAGTGCAACCACTGAAATAATATGTGGGAGCACATTTTAATCTCTCTATGCTGTGGTCAGGTAGACACTCCTGATAGGAACCACAAATGAACTGCACAAAGAGCCTGAGAGATGTCAGTACAGAAAACACCTAAAGCTGAACGCGCGCCTCTGAAGTGTCAATCACACTTCATTTGTGTTTATTTACTTAAGAGAGACAAAGATCTTCCATCTACTGGTTCACACCCCAAATACTACAATAGCCAGGGCTGGGCCAGGCTAAAGCCAGGAGTCAAATGTTCAGTCCAGGTTTCTTCCATGGATGGCAGGGGTCACCATCACTGCTTCCTCCCAGGGAAGCAGGAAGCTGGGATGGGCAATGGAGCCCAGATTTGAGCCCTGAGTACTCTGATATAACATGTGGGTATCCCAAACAACATCTCACAGCTGGACCACACACCCAGACCCAGGGTTTTACTTTTCTCTCTCTCCTTCCGTCCACGTTGAGCGCTCCATGTTGATGATGCTCAGCTCTATGAGAAGGAAAGAGAAGGAGAGAGATTGACAGTGGGGGGGGGGGAAGATGGCCCACCTAGCGTGTGGAAGACGTAGATGAAGTTCCCCCTCTTCCGGCCGTGGGGGTGAGGGAAGGGCTTCCCATCGGGGAACACATTGTGGTGGCTCTGGCCGCTGCTGTTGCCCGTGTCACTGTCCTCTGACCAGGCCGTCCAGTTGTAGACATACTGGTCAGTGGATGAGCCGGTGTCTAAAGAGAGGGAGAGAAACAAACCGGTGTTGTCACCTGGGCTTGGGATGTCACGTTTGCTCCTTCTGCTGCTGCAGAGTTGCTGGGTGAGCAGAACTCCAACAAGTCAGCATGCAGATGGGTGACGGGGTTCCACCTGTACCCAAGCTCAAGAGATGGTGTGTGTGTGAGCAGGAGGTGGAGCTGAGACTTCCACCCTTGGTACTCAGAAATGGGGTACGCGGGTCCTGAGGGATGCTTCACCTGCAGTGCCCGAACACCCATGCTTTCCCACAGGCCTTCTGAATCATCACCCTGTTCAGACCAGACAGCAGGCTTTATCTTTCCATTTCAATGCACTGTATCTGTAGATCATTACTTTTTTCCCCCTACACTTATCTAACCTCAAGGCTCCATTCCCATAGACATGGTAGCCAGTTTGGTAGGATGAAGGTATTTCCCTACACACCCCCTTGCAGTGCTCCCACAGGCTAGTCCAGGTTGATGTACTCCATGTGGCCCTAAACATGTTCCCCTAAACAGCATCTATCTGCTATCTATCAGTATGAAACTATGATGAAATGCTGAAGTGGCTGAATCCAGATGGAACATATTTGGGTGTTTCACGTCATCTTTGCATTGGCGCTAGTCAGGTAGCATTTACTTAGAAAAAAAATGGTTGTCAGCAGATATTGAATTGACCAGCAGACATCTCCCCAGCTGGCTGTTCTTCGAGTAGCCAAAAGAGCATCCAGGTCATGGAACCCCCAGTTGAGAACCACAGAAACGTGGCCTGCCCCATCAACAGATGTTCTGGGAAAGCTGGGGGTGGCTGGGTGGCCCGAGGGTTACACGGCTGCCCTCTCACCATTCCTGCAGTTCTTCTCATAGACGATGTCACCGTTGGCATCTTCCTTTTGGCATCTGGGGAAAACCAGGTTCACCACAAACGTCATTGTGGAGCCCACCAGAGCCGGGGAGTCACTGGTCAGGACCGCCTGCAGGTGGCCGCCTAGGGCAGAGGAAAAGGGGACACTCGGTGACCAACATCTTTGCTCGCCTTTACCCACTCGCTCACACACAGAGAGGCCAGGGAAATCTATGAGAACCTGATTAATGTCTCTGATTTTTCTGGATTCCTAACTTCAGCTTTCAGAGAAGATGAATTTAAAAAAAAAATTCTTAAATCAGAGGATGAATTCCGTATTAGCAGAAAGAACATTTACTTAAGATCACTAAAAAAATGTCTTCTACGTTGGACTTGCTGGGGAACTCATCCATGTGTCACAACGGGAAGACTGGCATTTTATTTTCTCCTGACTTACCACACCTTGGAGATGCTCGTGTCTTTGGGGGTCACGGGTCTTCCGACAGTGACCACTTCCACTTGCTGTGCTGAACTACATTGAAGGCTACACCTTCTTTCCCTTCAAAATTTCCCCAAGAGCTACCAACTTGGAAATTTCTAAAGGAATACACAGTGCTTTTTGCAGTTTAGATATGTACCAATTGGGATGAAGCACACACAGCCAGCCACAGGGGCTAAGCAACTTTCTTGCGACAGCCTTGACCCTCATGATCACAACCTGAGCCCTTGATCTGGAAGGTTCTAGAGTCCACAGGGTTCACCGAGACAGGAAAAGAGGGTCATGGCAGTGCAGTCTTTGAACTTACCCTTCCAGGAGTTCCTCCACCTCGTGTCCCCTCTCTTCCACACTGGGTAGAGTTTTTCGTTCCAGCTGTTTTCGTCAGACGACCAGCCATGTAACGGGCTGCGCTTGCTCAGATAGCCACGGGATTTGTCACTGCTCAGCACATCACGAAATCCTACATCAATATTTGACAAACACATCATTTTGTTGATTTCATTTCTCATTTAGTACTTGTTCAACCATAAAGAAAATTTCATGGTTGGAAAGTACATACATAATGTATCAATATGCCAATATTTGATATAGAGGGGTTTAAAACTTTTTTAAAAAATTAGTTTTATTTAATTATATGAAAGGTAGAGTGACAGAGGGAGAGCTAGAGGCGGAAGCAGAGGTGACAGGGAGAGGAGAGACAGAAATCTTGTATGTGCTGGTTCACAATAATTAGGACTGGGCCCAGCTGAGTGACGTCAGGACCAGGAAGTCCAGTTGAATCTCCTATGTGGGTGGCAGGGACCCAAGCCCCGGGATCATCATCTACTGCTCTCCTGGGTGCCTTAGCAGGAAGCTGCACCTGAAGTGGAGGATCTGGTATTAAGGGATAGGATGCAGACATCTCCTTTAAAAAGAGGCACCTGAGAACAACCCTCTCCCGCCTTTTTTTTTTTTCAAACCCACCTCAGGGCATTGGAGAGGGTGATATCATGATGCTATACCTGGAGCCTTGGCAGCCCTAGTTAACCATGCCAACACACCAAGGGCATCAGGGGGAACAGATGAAAAGAAACGGGTTCTGGGTGACATTGCCAAGCTGTCACTGTTGGCACTACCCACCTCCGGACTGAGGGTGTGAGATAATTAGTGTCTTACTCAACCTATTGCATTAATCATTGAAAGCTCAATGGGCCTAGAGCCCGGTGCCAGCCTTTAATCTCCCACTCTGCTAACTAGTACTCTAATCAGTTTATACGGTCTTGTGTCTTGGTTCAACCATTAATTCTTAGAGGACAGAACATCCCATCTTCTGCTCTTCATTCCTGGATGGTTTTGAGGAGTGCTCAGAGAAGCCATATGAATGCTTTGCTTCAGGTATTCCTTTTATTTTATGATGTATTTTATTTTTTAAAGATTTACTTATTTTTAATTGGAAAGGCGGATATACAGAGAGGAGGAGAGACAGAGGAAGATCTTCCGTCCTATGAATCATTCCCCAAGTAATGGCTGGAGCTGCGCCGATCCAAAGCAGGGAACCAGGAACTTCTTCCAGGTCTCCCACATGGGTGCATGTTCCCAAAGCTTTGGGCCATCCTCAACTGCTTTCCCAGGCCACAAGCAGGGAGCTGGATGGGAAGCAGGGCCACCAGGATTAGAACCAGAGGCCATATGGGATCCTGGTGCATTCAAGGTGAGGACTTTAGCTGCTAGGCCACCGTGCCAGGCCCGATTTATTTTATTTTTATTGGAAAGGCAGATATACAGAAAGAAGGAGAGCCATATAGAGAAAGATCTTCATCTGCTGGTCCCAGATGGCTGCAACAGTGGAGCTGAGCCGATCTGAAGCCAAGAGCCAGGAGCTTCTTCTGGATCACCCACATGGATATACTTGGGTCATCCTCTGCTGTTTTACCAAGCCACAGGCAGCAAGCTGGGTGTGAAGTAGAGCAGCTTTGACACAAGCCGGTGCTCCCATGAATTACTGACACTTGCAGGTGGAGGATTAGCTTATTTAGCTACCGCACCAGTCCCTCTTCTATTCCTCTTAATTAGCTTTGCGCAGTGGCAGTATCGTAGCCCATGAGGTTTATCTGAGGCGCGATTATCGCTAATTGAAAACTTTCTATTCCTCTTAATTGCATGAGGAGGAAGATGCTGCCTGAGTTTCCTTCCTACTGGAAAGCAGCTGAGCTGGGACACAGCATTGCACCAGGACTCAGAAGACCTGCTTCCCAGCTGTGGCTCTGCCACCGAGCTGGCTGGCTGGGCTCAGGCCCTCACATCAGACAAGAACCGACTGTCCTGTGGGATTGTTCCTGCTTGGGGCCAAAGACTGAGGCCAGGAAGCTTGAGTTTATCAATATGCATGTAACCGGGAATGCACTTGAGTTGCATGCAAAAAACTGCATGCTTAGTTCCAACTCCTCCCCGCTAGGCTCATCTCTTACTGAGTGGAAAGAGAAGAGCCAAATGCTTGGACTTCCCAGACTAATTATTTCTGCTGTTGCGCAGCATTCTCTGTCTCAGATCCTGAAAGTAAGTGTTTCCAGAACTGTGACCAAAACACAGATGTCTCCTCAGATTTTCAACATCACAAGTCATTGGGAAATGCAAAAGCCAAAGTGGCCATGGGGCAAGACAAGGAGGAAGCTAAAAATAAACTGGCCAAGTCCACCCTCCTGGCTTGTTACAACATTGCAAACCCAATCCAATGCAGGCAGGACAGAGCAGGGGAAATGGCAAGCGCAGGAGGAGAGACAGAGAAAGAAAAAGCAGGGGTGAAATCTTCAGTTGGAGGGTTGGGCAGCAATCTTTAGGCTTGACACCAAAAACACTCATCCAATAAAAAAATGAAAGTTGTACTTTATGCAAATGAACAGGTTCTTAACAATGTGTTTATTTTGGAAGGCAAACACACACACACAGAGGAAGAGAGAGAAAGAGAGAACATCTCCCATGCAGTGGGTCACACTCCAAATACCCATAACAGCTGGGGCTGGGCCAGGCTGAAGCCAGCAGCCTGGAACTCCGTCCTGGCCTCCCATATGGTTAGCAGAGACCCAGGTGCTTGGGCTGCCACCTCCCACAATGCCTAAGAAAAACTGGAATCAGTAGTAGAGTTGGGACTGAAACCCAGGTACTCCAATGTGGAACACAGACCTCCCAAACGGCATCCTAACCACTGTGCTGCATACCCAGCCCCCGAAACATAAAAACACCTTCACTCTGAGAAACTCCATGTGGAGGGGCTGAGAAGTCCAGCTCAGACTGGCAGGAATGATTCGCAAGCCACATTTCCAACAAAGGGTCAATATGTAAAATCAATAAAGCATTTTCAAAATTTATTGTTAAATAAGGCAACTCAGAAACTGGGTTTTAGGCAGGAGCAAGCATGTCCACAGAGAGATGTACGGATGACAGAAATCAACCCATGGGAAGATGTGGAACATCAGTAGACAGCAGAGGGATGCACATTAAAAGCCGATGAAGTACCAGCATACACCTGACTGTACGATTACAATAAAAAGTGGCGACCATTCAGAACACAGGCAAAGGTTCAGAGGAACTGGAATCAGTCGTCCCTGGCTGGAGGGAACGATACAGTGCAACCACTCTTGGCTAGTTCTCATAAAAAGGAATACACACACATTGGTCCTTCACCTAAGCCATGATATCCTTTCCCATGTATCCTGGGAACTTGTGCACACACACAAATGTTAATGGGAGTATTCCTGGCAACTTTATCCACAACAGCTTAAATGGGCATAAACCCCACATCCTTCAGCAGGTGAATGGTTAGCCAAGCCATGGTTAGCTACACCCATCCCGGGCAACCCTACCCAGTGATAAACTGTAGACAAAACAGCTTCCCGGACTCTCCCAGTGACTTATGCCAACCCTAGAAGGTGACACACTGTCTGATGGTATTTTTACAGCATTCTGGGAGTGACGGGACTGTGACAAAGGAGCACGGCTTGGTGGCCTTGAAGGGGCACAGTGGAGCCGCTTGCTGTCATGACATGCTAAGTTTGAGGAAGCTGGAGACTTTGGTCTGACTTCTGTCTGAACTTCCAGTAGGGTGCTGATGTCAATGCCTGTCCTGGGGTGCTGGACACCCCTCCTATCAGGATGACCTGGTGAGAGAAGCTCATCCCATCCTGCCCATTCTAATTTCCTAGGGAGCAGCCAGGCAGGGGTGGGTGGGTTGTGACCCTGGGGGAAGGGGTGCAGGCCCCCCCATTTACAGAAACACTCCCAGGCCCGGGACCTTCTTCTAAGCTGACTTTCTAAGAACCCTTTTACCCGGTTTTGTAAATGGGGAAATGAAAACCTAGTGACCCAAGGCAACCCAGCGGAGTGGGGGTGATAGTCCCACCACAGACCAGGAAGGACACTGGTGCCCTAGGCAGTCTCCTCTTCTCTAAGGGCTGTGTGGCAGGGCAGGGCTCCTTGCTCTCTCTGTGTGAATGTGGAACCTGGGACAGATTCAGCCTCGCTTAGCCTCTGCCAGGTGGCGGAACGCGTGTGTTTGGGCCAGCAGGCAGGCAAAGGATTTGTCAGCTTGAGGTGAGGTCTAACCGCCCAGAGGGGCCTGGGTCTGCAGGCTTGTCTCCTCCACATGCCCCAACAAACCTGCACGGATCGCTGCTCCTGCAGGGTGGGGATGTGTGAGCTGGTGAGAGTGAGGTTGTGGCCCTCAGCACCCATGGTAGCTAGGGTGGGTACTCAGTCCTTAATTCTCAGCCCCCACTTGGTGTGACGGGAGAATCAGGCTCCGTCCCTGGAGCTGTCTGCAAGTCGAGACCCCCCAGAACATCTGATCCAGGGGAGGGGTGCCTGCTGTCGGCTTGCTCCTTCTCCACCTGCACTCGCATCCCACCTGCAGGGGGTCGTTGTCCACCCTCTGGTAGGGGACAAGAAGCCTCCCCCAACCCCCTGGTGTACAACCCAGGTTGGGCACTCAGATGGCCCGGAGGCAGCATCCACCCCCTCCTCCTCTCAGGACTGGTGGAGCTTCGGAGTTGGGGTTAGGAGCTAGCCCACCCACCAGCTGGGAGTCTGTTTCATGCAACGCCAAACCTGTTGGATAGCCGCCAAAGATGAATTGGCAGAGGTGCTCTGTTCTCTGGCCAGAGGCTGGCTGTCTCCTTCCCTGACAACTAGGGCTTCTCAAGGGGGAGTGCAGGAAAGAGGCTGGTTTAGGCTGGCTGAGATTTGGCCTGAATGGTTAAGGTGGCGGTTGGGGTTCCCTCATCCTACCATGGAGTGTTTGGGTTCTAGTCTTGGCTCCAACTCCTCACTCCAGCTTGCTGCTAGTGCACAGCCTGGAAGGCAACAGGTGGCCATTTAAGAGGTTAGGATGCTGCCATGGGCTCCTGGCTCCTGACTTTGGTTGGCATTCGGGGAACAAACAGGCCAAAAAGTGCTCTACGACTTGAATGCCATAAGCCAACTGAGTGGGTGGTAACTGTGATGGAAAATGAACTCCACTAGCAAAGCTGAATAGTTTTACTTTGCAAAGAAAGGATAGGAGGTGGAGGGGCAGGGAGTGCACTCTGCAGCAGTTTCAGGATTCCCTGGGGCTGGCTGAAGAGGACAGGAGCCAGGCCATGGGGGCTGCAGCTCTTCGTTGGGCCAATGGCCAGAGGGAATGGGTTAAAGGCAGAGAAGCGGGTGTTACTCACGGGTGGCTGTGGTGAGTGGTGATCCGGCAGCCAGCAGCAGAAAGCCCAGGAAGCAGCAGAGTGATTCCATGCTGGACTCCGGGGCAAGACAGTCTCCACCCTCAACTGCTGCAGCCCCGCTCTTGCACCTGTGTGTGCATGCAGGCAGCAGCAGTATCTTCCTCAGCCCCGCTGCACCCCACTTTTTATTCTGGGTGAGCCCAGGGCCTGGGGGCGGATCATGTGATGGGATTAAGCTGGGCTGCCTGATCTGTTCTCTGGAGTTCAACCTCTTACGACTCATGTGCTTATGACTCACTAGCTCTTGGCCTCTGGATCCACTGACTGATACTCGCTCTTCCAAGGGGGTGAGCCTGCCTTTGCTCCTATTCAGGGAACTCCTTTTCCGGGGGACATTCAGCAGCTAATCACATTTCTAGCCCCCAAGGCACATTGGTGTGTGACTTACAGATGTAGAGTTGCCACAGTGGTGTCTCTTTTTCTATCAGTTGGCAATGCCTTGTTTCCTCCCAGCCCTAAGCCCAAGAGGAGACAAAGGTGTCTCTAATAAGCTGGAATCATGGGCTACCTTCAAAGGTGACATACACACACACACCCGGGTCAGTCTGTGCTAGAAACAGCCCTATGGATCTCTGCTAGGGGAGATGTTTACTCAAAAGCACTTTTTTGAGGGGAGGGGCTGGATGGATATTTATGTCATGATGCTTAACTTGCAGAACGATCTGCATAATCTTTTGGTCACTGATGGCCAACTATTTTTGTGCCGTGGCACATCACACCCATTGCTGACAACATGCTGCGGGTTGATTTCTTGTTATGACAAGCAAATGGGACATGTGAAAACAGGCTTGCACAGAACACAGGCTTCATGCAGTCAAACCACTTCTGGTTATGGGATATGCAGGGAATGGGACAATGCGAGGCAGTCTTCTCCATGGCAGAGCCACTGGCTGTTGTCAGGGCATCGGGCTTCCTAGCTGGAGTGTTGATTCTACGGAGGGCTCAGTCGCCTGTGACACTGCAACCCCAGAGCAGAAGTGACCCACTTCCCACCCCCTGGCTTCTCACAGCTCTTGGGGGTTCCCTTTCACAGCCTTGCAAACAAATAATGAAAAACAGGAAATGGAACACATGATCCACAATTGAGATGAGGCGGTATGCCAGTGCAGATGAAGAAATAGACAATGGAAATACAAGGGCACAGTAGAGCATGTCTGGGAAAATGACATCAAGATCACTAAGTTTATTGTGATGGGAAAGCATTAAATTCATGCAGTTTTCTCACAACATGCATTTTCCATGCATTTTTGAAGGGTCTTTGTATGCAAGGATTTCAATGCTTTTGGCACCAAAATACTTATCTTGTCATTTTCCCCAAACTTCTTGATGTATACTTGTATTCATCTAATGTAAAATAAATATTTGGTAAAGTTCTGCTTGCTTTGCAACAAATGTGTATAACTTTTACTTTTTAAAAAAAATGCTTCTTAAGAGAAACTTCTAACATGTTCTGAAAGCTATATGAGAAAAGAGAGCTCCCACCTGCTATTTCACTGCCCAGATGCCTGCAAGGGTGGGATTAACCCAGGCCAAAGACCGGTCCTGGGAACTCACTGCAGGTCTCCACCTCGGGTAGCAGAAACCCAAGTTCTTGAATTGTCATCTGCTGCCTCGCAGGGTCTGCACACTCAGAAAGCAGGAGCTGGGACTCCAATGCTGGCACTGCAATATGGGACGAGGTATCCAAACTACCTGCCTGAACACCTGCTCCAAAGGCATCATTTTATTTAAAGGTGAAAAATCACTGTGCAAAGAACCTGATGGGTGAGCATCACAGTCCTCCCGAGGGGAAGGGATACAGAGGGAAGCAAAGGAAAGCTGCAGAGCAATGACCCAGAGGCCTGGAAGCAACCCTGGGGCTGAGCCTTCCCCTGGGCTGGGGAGGGAGAGCTCCAATGCTGACCTTGGGGCAGCACCTGGGATGTAGCCTCTGCACTGACCCCTCCAGGGGGCCCTGGAGGGGGCGGAGTCAACAACTGGCCTTGTAGGGTTTCCTGTTTGTACTGGTGGCTTTTTTTTTATTATTAAGATTTATTTATTTTTATTGGAAAGTCAGATATACAGAGAGAAGGAGAGACAGAGAGGAAGATCTTCTGTCCAATGATTCACTCCCCTAGTAACTGTAATGGCTGATCTGTCTGATCTGTCTCCCATGTGGGTGCAGGATCCCAAAGCTTTGGGCCATTCTTGACTGCTTTCTCAGACCACAATCAGGCAGCTGGATGGGAAGCAGAGCCACTGGGATTAGAACTGGCATCCATATGGGATCCCAGCGTGTTCAAGGTGAGGACTTTTAACCACTATGCTATCGTGCTGGGCCTGACTTTTTTTTTTTTTTAAACTTATTTAGTTTTATTGGAAAGGCAGATTTACAGAGAGAAGGAGAGACACAGAGAAAGATCCTCCATCTGTTGATTCACTCTCCAAGCACCCGCAATAGCCTGAACTGAGCTGATCCAAAGCCAGAAACCAGAAGTATCCTCCAGGTCTCCCATGTGGATTCAAGGTCCCAAGGCTTTGGGCCATCCTCTACTACTTTCCCAAGCCACAAGCAAGAAGCTGGAAGGGAAGTAGAATAGCCAGGATATGAACCAACTCCCATGTGGGATCCCAGCACGTGCAAGGTGAGAATTTAGCCACCTTCATGCCAGGCCCTGTGCTGGTGGCTTTTGCCAGTGGGGTCCTCGGGACTGGGTAAGGTCCCTTCCCCTACTGCTTTTAGAAGCAGCTGTTAGATCCATCCCCTTAACTGCTCTTGGCACCTGCATGGAAAATCACACAGACTTCTCATCTCACTGTGCAGAGGCAGAATCCTGTCTTTTTTGCCCAGGTTTCCCATGTGTTCTTGCAAGTGGCCTCTTTCCACGTGAGAAGCCCCTGGGGCCAGATTGGGCAGGGAAAGGATGTGGGGATGGCAGCTGCCTTGCCTCTCTCGACTGTGACACCGGCTGTCTTGCTCCCTTACTTACCTACAAGCACCCACTGGGGCCTCCAGGGGCTCTCCCTGTCTTCCTGATAGCTGACTGGCAACCGGATCCATGTGCAGCCTTCAACCCTCTCTCCTACCTTGCCACACAGCATATTTAGAGAACCTGAAGGCTAAGATGTGGGCATCCTGCTGGGGGCTGGGTGAGGAGGGCAGTATAATTCTGCTTGGCTCAGTTAGGCAGCAGGTAACTTGGCAGAGAATTCTATTCGTGAAGAAAAGTGTGCCATGGGGCTGGCAAGTTGGCTCAACTGGCTAATCCTTTACCTCCAAATGCCAGCGTCCCATGCAGGTGCTGGTTCATGTCTTGCCTGCTCCACTTCCCATCCAGCTCTCTGCTTGTGGCCTGGGAAAGCAGTTGAGGACAGCCCAAAGCCTTGGGACCCTGCAATCGTGTGGGAGAACCCGGAGGAAGTTCCTGGTTCCTGGCTTCAGATGAAGTCAGCTCTGGTCATTGTGACCATTTGGGGAGTAAAACAGCAGATGGAAGATCTGTCTCCTCTTTGTAATTAAAACTAAATAAATCTCTTTCCAATAAAAATAAATAAGACTAAAAAAAGAGGAGGAGGAAGAGAACAAGAAGAAAGGTGTGCCATGCAGTCAGCACTCAAAGGTCCCTGCCAGGAACCAGCGTGATGCTGTGGGTTAAGCCACCGCGTGCAAAGCTAGCATCCTATCTGAGAACCAGTTCCCACTCTGGCTGCTCCACTTCTGATCAGCTCCCTATTTATGTGTTTGGGAAGGGATTGGAAGATGGGCAACTTTCTTGGCTCCCTTAACCCATGTAGAAGGTTCTGGTGGAGGTCTGAGCTCCTGGATTTGGCCTGGCAGCCTTGGCTTTTGCAGCCATCCGGGGAGTGAACCAGCAGATGGAAGATTATCTCTCTCTACTACTCACCATAACTCTTTCAAATAATTTTTTAAAAAGATTTATTTAATTTTTATTACAACGTCAGATATCCAGAGAGGAGGAGAGACAGAAGATCTTCCGTCCGATGATTTACTCCCTAAGTAGGCGCAATAGCTGATGCTGCACCGTTCTAAAGCCAGGAGCCAGGAATTCTTCCAGGTCTCCCACGTGGCTGCAAGGTCCTAAGGTTTTGAGCCATCCTCGACTACTTTTCCAGGCCACAAGCAGGGAGCTGGATGGGAAGTGGGGCTGCCAGGATTAGAACTGGTGCCCACATGGGATCCCAGCATGTTCAAGGCAAGTACTTTGGTGGCCACTAGGCCATTGTGCTGGGCCCTCAAATAAATATTAAAAAAAGCTTTATTATTTTTTATTGGAAAAGCAGATATACAGAAAGAAGGAGAGACAATGATCTATCTGCTGGTTCACTCCACAAGCGGCCACAACAACCAGAGTTTAACTGATCTGAAGTCAGGAGTCGGGAGCTTCCTCCAGGTCTCCCACATGGGTGCAGGGTCCCAAGGCTTTGGGCCGTCCTCGAGTGCTTTCTCAGGCCACAAGCAGGGAGCTGGATGGGAAGTGGAGCAGCCAGGACACAAACCAGTGCCGATGTGAGATCCCAGGTGTATAAGGCGAGGATTTAGCCACTAGGCTATTGTGTCGGCCCTTAAATAAACAATTTTTTTTTTTAAAGAAAGGTCATTGGGTCTAGAAAAATGTGGGTGTTTCATAATCTTTAATCCTTAGTTGGTATTTAAATAAATTTGTGCACTTATTTGAAAGGTAGAGAAATAGTCGAGATGGAGTCTGAGACAGAAAGGAGAGACCTCTTGCATCCTCTGTTCGCTCCCCAACTGCCCACAACTGCTGGGCTAAGCCAGGCTGAACTCCAGAGCTGCTCCATCTGGGTCCCCCACATGAGTGGCAGGGACCCCAGGACTTCCGCCGTCATTCTCCGCCTCCAGGTGCACCTTAGCGGGAAGCTGGGACCAGAAGCACTCCTGGGTTACACGTTTCCCAAGTAGTGCCTTGCCTGCTTTTCCAGAAGCCCGTCTCAATTTCCTAGTTTTGTTTTTAGGACATTTTCTGTGACTTAGGGTAGTCCGAGGGCAAGTTGTGACAACTGTGCAGGTGCAGAAGCAACGGGAAGGTGTTTGCTTGCTCGCTGCCTTTG